CGCCATCGATCATCTATACGAAAGACAAAGACACCAAACGTGGACCGTTGCAGTTTGCCTCACTGGTAGGTGCTTCAGCAGGCAAGCCGACAATCCACATACACCAAGCGTCCAGCAGCGACACGTTAAAATCCATCCTGCCGGGCGAATCTCTGCCCCACTAAAGCCTCAACCCTCTAAACTCACCCCACCGTCAACCTGGCGATCCTGAAATCATGCACTGTAGCAGTAATCTTCCCGTGTGCTTCCTTCATGTATGCTCGAAAAATGAAAAAGGTTTTAAAATATCAATGGCAAACATGAACATCAACACGGAGCTCGCACGGTGTCCCGTTTGGAACAAAAGGAAATACAAATGTGCCACGAAAGATTGAAGTTTAAAGAAGACCCTGCACAGATGAGGAATATGTATATATATATATATATATACACATACACAGACATGTCACATATTTAGACAATTGGTAAACATACATCTATAGACACTACAGCCCACATCACTCTTCTCTGGGGCACTCTTCTCTTTTGACCCAAGAACCAGGTCGTGCTTCGGATCTTTTGCGCCAGGCAAGTTTGACTTGGTTGAGGGCTTACTGGTTTGGGGTCTACAGGTCCATGGGGTTCAGGGGTTAAGGCTTCTGCGGGGGTTTGGGCTTAGATCTCGGGGTTTGGGGCTGTATAAGAATTAAGCCTTTTAGGCATTTTGTTGCGTCTGTGGGCGGCTTAAGTTCGCAGTGCTTTCGTTTGATCGACGGTGTACTTGCAGTAAAACCCTCCGGCTGATTTGCACTGAAGGCTATGACTTATATGGAGCGACCATGGTTGAAGAACTCACCGCAGCTTCGAATCATAGTATCCGCTGATTATGAATGAAGGCGTGCTACTTTTGGAAATCTCGGGTTGGGATGTTTCAGGGTAGGCTTTGCATTACGCGAATGCTTCGGTTTAAAGGGGGTCGTCCCCTGCCTATGGGATGATTGGGTCGAGAACCACGGCCTGACTCTGTGTCATGTGTAGTCGACGACGATGGCCGATGGGGAGTGCGCCTTTGATCTGGCACTGGGGTAGGGGAACACTACCAAGGAATGAAACGGCTGATGTTTGGGATGCTCTCGCACGTGTCAGACACTCCGGGATGCTAAAGTCGGTGAAGGCTTGCGGTATACGATGTTGCGAACACGGTTCCTGGAATAAGGAACATATGCAGCGGCGGGGCTGTTCCAAACGAGGGTTTGGTAATCGTCAACGTGCTCGCACCAGGGGCAGTTTTAGGGAATCCTACGCCGAAAAAATCGCTGAATCATCTTTGACAAACCCTTTCGATTTCCAAGCAAGATGGGAGTTTCCGAACAAAAATTAGATAGTAGGATCCTTATTGTAAGGATCCCAAAATAAGGTACCCCCTAATTTTCGGAAACTCCCAGAAGGGTATCTATCAGCTGCAGCAGAGATGGTCCACAGCTCCTTCTGGCGGCCAAGGTATGAACAAGTTACACCCCAAACCCCCTACCCTAAGCCCTCAACCCCCAAAAATGCCGCGGGGTGGTGGGGGAGGGGGGGCCTAGCAGCGCTGAACCATATATATATATATATATATATATATATATAATATATATATATATATATATATACACATACCCTAACCCGCCTTTAAAGATTGCCTGGCACGAGGCTTCCGCTCCCAACGCGCGTGGGGCTCGGTCTTGGGGTCACCCTTACAGCTTTCTAGTTTGCAAGAAGCATTAAACATTATAGGGTCCGGCTTTAGGGTTTGAGTTTAGGATGAAGAGTTCAGGCTTTGGGTTCTTTAGGGTTTGGCGATGCTACCGAGTTTAGGATTTATGCTTCGAGGTTGGACTTTGCCCGTAGCCCCAAAAGCTAGCTACGAACTCGTAGGTTATGAGCCCGAGCTTCCTAGGTTGTAAGCCTGCAGTTGTCCGGCTATGGCCCTGAAAGAAGGTTGTCGCATCCTTAGGCATTGCCTGGGGTTGAACATTTCGGACATCGGGCCACGAAACTGCCATGCTCGATGCAGAGGTCGGAAGAATAAGTATGGTTATTCCTCCAGTATACATACATGTATGCAGTGCAATGTTTCTAACCACTACGGCCCCAAAAAGCATGTCAGCGCCCCCTAAACCCTAAACCCTTACAGGAAAGTTTAGAGGGGACCCCAAGAAAACCACAAACCCTAAGCGCCGTCTAAACCCTAAACTCTTCTGGAACCAACCCCTTAAAGGAACCTCAGAAAGCCCTAAGCCCACCCGATACCCTTAAACAATCCAAGGAAAACCCTAAAGGAACCCCAAACCCTTAAAGGAGCCCCTAAAAGGAAACCTAACTCCTTAAATGAACCCCCAAAAGGAAACCTAACTCCTTAAATGAACCCCTAAAAGGAATCCTAAATCCTTAAAGGAGCCCCTGAGAGGATCCCAAAAAAGCCCCCAGGCAGCTCCTCGACCTCGAACTCCAGACAGCCGCCCGGAGCTTGTCGGAAGGCTCTCAGTTTCAGAAGGTTGACCACAATAGGGATCTATAAGGGCTCCTATAATCCCAAGGGTAAAAGGAGGGACCCTTAATACGGACCCCTAGGTATATACCCTTAATACAGCTATCATATACCCATTATATAGCCCATTATAGGGTAGGGGTCCCCATCAAGGGTCCCTCCTTTTCTCCTTTCATATAAGGGATCTATAAGAATTCATTTAGGGGTTTTATAGGGTTTAAGGGTCGGAAGGCCCTCGGTTTGCGGATGTTGTGGGGTTGAGGAGTTTCGGAGGTTTTGGGGTTTAGGGCCTTGAGGGGGTTTAGGGATTTGTAGGTTTTCGGATGTTGTGGGGTTTGGGATCTTCGGATTAAATGGAAGTTTTGGGTTTTAGGCTCTTAAGGCATAAAAAGTTCAGGGTTTCGGATGTTGTGTGTTTGGGATTTAAGGTTCAGGGTTACAGGGGGCTTGGAGACCAATGCAGGGAAAATTGAGGGTTTCGGGCTTCAGGGTTCGATTTTGGCTTCTATGGTTTGCTTCTTTGGGTCTTCCGGGCGGTGGGTTCAGGCCTCCGCGTTTAGGGTCCGGGATTTTGGGTGCCTCGGTTCGCGTCTACATCTTTGTAGGAGTCTGCATTTGAGATTGAGCTCATTCCTTCATACGGACCCTTGGGGGGAGGGGGGGAGGGGACTATTCTTGCTTGAATAGGCCTTTTCTAATCCTTATTATGGGTATTAAGGCCCCCTACCCCCTCCCCCCTACCCCCATAAGGCTTAAGGGTCCTCATGATTCCTAGGAGTCGGCCCAGAGTGGGTTCCTTCCGCAACCAACCCCGAAGCCCTACGCCCTGTACAGCAAAAGCTCAACATCGAAGCCTAATGTAGTGGCTTTCATAATTTCCTATACTTCTTGGGTGTTTCTCGAAGTTCCTTGTCATAATTATAGTATATTGGGCCCCTAAAAGCCTATTCAAATTTCAAGTTATTAAGGCCCTTATAGTAAAGTGCCACTGTTTGGGTTTCTTGGGCTTTGGTTGGTCTCAAGTTGCTCATGCAACGACACCGCTTGTGTGTCAGGAGGCAGCTTGCACGGTGGTCCGTGGCTCGGGAGGGGGATTTTGGGGCTGTGCAGCGAGGTGGGCTTGGGGGTGTTGGATATATCTTTAGGAGCAATGATGCTGATGACCCAAACCAGAGTATCAACAATGATGCCTTTGTTACGCCACATTCCTCAATTCTAAGATTCTAAGCCCCAATCCCCGATTTCGGAACCTGACACAGGTATCTACCGGGTTAGTGTAACGATTTCTATAGGATTTATTCATGGTTTAGGGATGTTTAGGGTACATGTAGTCTTCAGGAAACCCCATAAACCCTAAACCCTTCTAATTTATGAGGGTCGTGTTGGGTCATGAAGGGGTGTATGGTCGTCTCGCGATTAGTTGGGCCTGAAGGTTGCTGCAATTGCAGCAACGTGAGGGCTACGCATCTGGATATAAAGGTAGGGTGATTCACGATCAAATGCCCAGTGGTACCCTTATTCCCTTGTTGCAGTCCTAGGTTCCTTATAAAGTTATGCAATACTACGAATAGAGCCCTTTGTTTTCCTAGGTTACTGGGCATCCTAGATTAGGCACTGCATGGAGCTGCGATGCGTTGATGGTTGAGGGTTATCTTGCTTGCGGCGTCGTACCTGGGGGTTCAAGGACTCTTCAAGGATTCCAGGTTGTGTTGTTGGAGTCGTTTGTGTACAGATCGGGAATTGCGGCTTCGGTTCCGTATGTGTTTGTCTTCGGCGAATGGCGGGTTGTAGCAGTGCGGTTCCTGTGCGGATCCCGTCATATTCGCATCACGAATCGATTCGGTTCTGCGAGCCTCATGGTTACGATCTATATTTCTTCCGACCATGTAGAGATGAGCACATGGCAAGCCACCCGTGAAACTATGAACCTTAAACGCATAAACCTCGCAACATGCGAAGTTGCACGGCAATATGTGGCATTCCGTCTCAAGCCAGCGTCGTTTGGAAAAGACCTGACTGCATGGCTAGCCGTGGTGGTGCGGTTTAGGGCCAGTTCAGTTATCGGTTCAGGATTTCATGATATAGATTCCAGGCTGGACCCTAAACCGTTAACCCTGAACCCTAAGCCTAAAACCACTAGACTAGGGAATCTTCATCAGAACAGACTCAACATTCCCGAACAGCAAGAGGACCCTCACACCTCGGACCCCGAAGCTATCACAAGACATCTCAACAAAAATTACTGCTTGGGTTCGAGGGGGTAAGGCTTTACGCAGGCCTTATGCAGTTTACAACGCATGCTAAAGCCTAAGCCTACGCCCTAAGCCTTATGCCTTGGGTACTGCCCCCACTCAGTAACAGTTGGATAATATTCATAATCCAGGTATATTAGGACCCTAATAGTAGCCCTATTATGGACTGTTACTGTATGGGGGCAGTACCCAACTTATACCCCGTATAAGCTCCAAACCTCACACGGCTGCTCTTCGCCATGTGTTTCTTCCTCCAGCTGCGATGGCACCTCCTGCCCATGCCTTAGGCTCTCCAAGGTGTGGGTTTAGGGTTCAGTAGGTTTTTTAGGAGTTTTAGGGGGTTCAGCAGGGGTTTTAGGGCGTAGGGTTTAGGGTTTAGTAGGGGTTTTAGGGGTTTTACTGTAGGGCTTAGGGTTTAGGGTTCAGCAGGGGTTTGAGGGCTTAGGGTTTAGTAGGGGTTTTAGGGGTTTAGAGTTTACACGGCCTCTGAGCCCTAGTCGCAACCCCCTCTGAGCTTTTGAGGCTAAAGGCTCATGATCAAAAGTCAAGGGGCATTTGTCCATTTTGGTGTTTGAATTGTCAGGAACTCCGGAGGGCTTTGAGCAGGTATAAGTAGGGTTATAGTAGGGTAACTATACTTATAACCCATATTAGGGGACTCATAACACCACTTATAAGCTTGTGGCCGGAATCGTTGGAGGCCCTAGTAGACGAGGGTTTCGGGCTTGTGGTCAGTAGAGGAGGATTCCTGTTAAACGGTTACTTGCGGATATCTTTTTAACATCAGCATGTCCATGTCCGCAGTTCAGAGATCCGGAAGGGCCCGACAAAAACCTACAGTCACAGCTCCTCCTGTCCTAAACCCAAAGACTTCATTCTTGGGTACCTCTGTGCTTCAAAAGCAGACTGGAGGAACATGTTCTTAACCTAAGCCTATGTTCTGAGCCCAGTTACGAAGCAATTGTAAGAGCTTTGATGCCTTAAGACCCCCACTACACCCCTATGTCCTCTAAGAGCCTGAGCCGTTTAACACCGTTTCGTTGCCAGAAAGGTTGCTGTCCTTCGTAGCATCCTGCCAAAGTTCCTCGCTGGATCAGAAGGAGATGGAGGTCCTTGAGAAGGCCTCAACAAAAAGGTCCATTATAGGCTCATCTAGAAAGGTTATTCGGAATTCTAGGAATTAGTATATAGGGGTTGCATGGGGTTGCTATCCTGGTTTAGTGTCAGAGTTGAGGGGGTCCGGATTTATTGTGTCTATGTTTAGGGCCTGGGGTTCAGAATTTTCTGTTAATTGGAGGGAAGGTTTGCTATAGTTCATACAAGTAGGAGTGTCAAGGAGCTTTGATGTCAACGGTCTGTTGTCTTAAAGAACTGTGAAGTGGTTTTCAAGCGTTCCAACAAAGAGAAGCAGCATGTGAAATATAAGACTTTCACCGAGATTACAGAGGTACCGTTGATGTGTCCCTACCTATAGTCTCCATTGTAGTTCCTTTCTTATGGTTAGGATCCTATAATATAGTTTATGCTTAACCAAAACAGTGAACTACAATGGAGACTATAGTAAAAGACCACTACGGCTCCAGGCTTTCATGGGCCTTGGCGGTTGGGGGTTTTAAACCTCGAGAGATTTATGGCATCGCTGCTGGGGTTCAGGGGTTCGAGGACTTGGGGTTTTCGTGTCTGGGCGGGTCTACTTGAAGGATCGTGGGACTTAGTAAGTTGGGTAGTTAGAATAAGTACCTCAATTAAGGTTATAAGTAAATATACTAAGTCCCATGATCCTTTAAGTAGGGCTTGCAACCCATCACCGCAAATCGCTTCCTTTCCCGTGCACGTAACATACTTAAACTGCTACAGTACGGAAAGGCTGAGGGAGTCCCTGCGTAGCCTGCGAAAAGCCCGATGGTAATCCTACAGACTTTACCCCCAGCTTGGGATTTCTTGGCAAAACAGCCAGCCTCATGGAAACGGCCACAACCGCATAAGACGTCTGAAGGCCCTGGACCCTGTAGAACCTTGAAAAGGCAATTTGACTGGCTGCACATCCTCTATGCGCTTGACCCTAAAGCCTACTCTGATCCCTCTTGAAGCCTAATTGTTTAGGATTCCTGGTCATGGTTTCTCTATACAAGTCCCAGAGAAGGTAGGTTATCTGGGGTTTAGGCATGCTAAGCACGTGGCAGGTGCTATCAGAGCTTTATCACCCACTTATGTGGGAGATCAAGATGCGCGATAAGCCACGGCCTCGAAACTGAGGGTTGAAAATAATGTAGGAACCTCATCAAGAAACCCTGGCCCTATAACCCCAATATAGTAGGGCTCATATAAGGAACCCTTATAATTTATAATAGGCCCAAGGTTTCTTAGTCCGGTAGGTTCCTACGCTACAGCAGAAGCCCTAAGACTTTCGCATCCCTGAATAGCGTTGAACTATAGTATGCACTCAGGGGTTTAGGGTTTAGGGGTTTGTGTAAGACCCTGTTCTGATTTATGGGGCCCCCTTCATGCAGCAACTCTCCTCAAGTCATGTACAGGAACTCAGCCGGTTAAGCCGACTCATCTGCAAGCATATTTCTTGCAAAGAAAACTCATAGGGTTTTGCCGGACGGAACATCAATGATTTCGGAGGTCTCGAAAGAGTGCCACCGACTTAGTGAGGTTCGTGTCTAACTGAAATTCAGGAAAACCACCATAGGTTATAGTACCCTCACTCACTCACTCACTCACTCACTCACTGACGTACTTGCGGTATTGTACTTACTTACCTATATTACCTTGCATCACAGTACATGAATTTTCAACAACATTAGGTTAGATAGTTCAATCATACATACAGATACATGCATCCGCAACTACATACGTCCATACATACATACATACATACATACAGGCATGCACACATACATGCACGTGTGCATGCACACATGCAGGCATACGTGCATACCTGTATGCATGCATACATACAGACATATGTGCATACATGCATGCATGCATGCAGGCATGCATACTTACGTGCATTCATGAGACCCCCATGCATTCATGCATACATACACCCGATGAGACGACGGACCTTGACAGCCAGATTATGTGAGTATTATGTGCTTCTGTATAGATATTATGTATATGGGAGTTTCCGAAAATTAGGGGACCGTCATGTAGTACCCTAAATAGTATGATCCTTATTCTAAGGACCCAAGATAAGCTGCCCATAATTTTCGGAAACTCCCATATGCACACGCGTACATGTAAGCAATCCAGGTTTGTGCCTACTAAGAATGTGTAGCTGGTCGGCCCGACATTCCCGCCAATTCCTAGCCAGCAAGGAGAGCGGCGGAGCCCCTTTGCCGCCTCAAGGAGGTGTCCTGCGTGCGAGTGCAGGCGGGCAGTGCCTGCACCGAAATGCGCAAGACCCTGTACATCCAGAGTTCAGGGTTCAGGCGCTGAGCCCCAAACGCTAGACCGGACACCCGGGAAGCAGGGACCCTCTTCGTCTGTTCAGATGGAACTACCTGTGCATGCTACAAGCTATCGTGTTCATGAAGGACTACACCTATGGTCTGAACCTATGGAGTTGCATCTCAACAATTCGGCTTTATCGTAGCAGTAGGTGCAAGCATTTGGGGAAACGTTGCCTGTGATCGCTCTCCAGGGCGTGTGGCGGGTGGCGAAGATCGTCACCAAGGAGCCAGCTGGATTGTTGGCAATCCTAAACCCTGAACCCTACCCCCGAAAAGCGCCTCGTCACATTCGTATCTAACCCCGTGGATCGACATCGCCCCGAAATCGCTTGCTGCAGGGTATTAAGTCCTCAGCCATGAACCAAAGCCCAATAATATGCTTGGGTCAGTCGGTGTTGATTACACAAGCTTCTACGCTTGCATCCAGCCCCTATAACCGAGGTTGCCAATGCCCGCAAGAACATATCAGCTTCGCATGTTGGCTAGGACATAGGATAGCCTGTGTCCTGACCGTAAGCTATAGCAACTTGTTGTTTTTGCATGTGACAAAACTTGGGGTTCATATAACACCCTAACGAAAGTAGACGGCAGCAGTTCAAGGAAATCCCGCATGAAGACCTTCTGCCTTCCGAACATTCATTAGACCGCGGATTTGGATGGTGTAAAACAGGGTTCAGGGGTCTGGGGTTCAGGGTTTTTGGGATTTGGGTTCAAGATCTAATTACGTTTCAGGGTTCAGGGTCAGAGCTTGGGTCCAGGGATTTGCAGCAGCGGCCATGTTCCAGCTGACCGCCTGACAACATTCTGTCTCCACCGTGGGTTGATAGCTGAGGACTCAACCTGTGCGACAGTCCCAAGAGCCGCACCCTAGAATAGATACCCCAAACCTGAGACCCGGAACCTCTCCAAGGGGGTTTTGGTTTGGTTTATTGGTCGAAGCTTCAAACCATATCCTACAATATTCTGATCGCAGACCTCAACCCCTAACCCTGCAGGGTGTATACAGGCCAGGGACCTTCAGGGGTACGCAAGTGACAAAGATACCGGGGAAAAGAGCAAAAGAAGCAAAGCCAAACCCAGTAGTTGAGGTTATCGACGTTACAATTTGGCCTTTTGAAAGAACAGCAATTTAAGTTCCTGTGGCCTGTGAGCTCCACAGCTTGGCAACCCCAAATTCTAAACCCCAAACTCCAAACCTAAACCCTTACAGTAAGCCTATTGTAAACTCAAAAAAGTTGGAAACCTAATTAAGGACAAAATCGTGCTGGGATCCCTATGCGTTGCTCTTAGGGATTGAGGCAATCGGGTTTCCAACTTTTAGGCTTCTGCTGTAGACCCCAAAACCCTAAGAAGGCTAGGTCCTTTACGCTCTAAAACCCTAAACCCTAAACCCTAAACCCTAAACCCTAAACCCTAAACCCCTAAACCCCTAAACCCTAAACCCCAGTTAAATGCCCGAAACTCTTCACTTTAGATCCTAGAAACCCTAGAAACCCTGAACCCTTAGATCCTATAAACCCCAAAACCCTAAACCCTCAACCCTTAAGTTTAGATCCTATAGACCCTACAACCCTAAAGCCTTAACCCTGAACTGTAGATCCTAGAAACCCTAGAAACCCTAAACCCTTAACTCTAGATCCTATAAACCCCAAAACCCTAAACCCTCAACCCTTAAGTTTAGATCCTATAGACCCTACAACCCTAAAGCCTTAACCCTGAACTGTAGATCCTAGAAACCCTAGAAACCCTAAACCCTTAACTCTAGATCCTATAAACCCCAAAACCCTAAACCCTCAACCCTTAAGTTTAGATCCTATAGACCCTACAACCCTAAAGCCTTAACCCTGAACTGTAGATCCTAGAAACCCTAGAAACCCCAAACCCTTAACTCTAGATCCTAGAAACCTTACAAACCCTAAACCCTAAACCACAACCAGGACTCGGAAGTCCCCGCCATTGGCCGCATTCCTGAAGAACTCGGCGAGCTCCGGTGGCTCCAGGTTCTGCACTGATAGGTTGGATGATAGAAATCCTAGGGCTCCTTTAAAGGGATCTATAAGCCTACCGCTAAGGGGTTCCTGTAAGGGATGTATAGGGTAGAGGGTTGAAGATATAAATCCTGCGTTGCCTCAAGGACTCTAAACTATAGGAACTATGGTACTAGTATACTCCTTATTATGGGTAGTGCAGGGTCTATATCATCAACCGTATGGTCTATGATGAGCTGGGCTCTGGAATACAATACCTTAACGTTTTGTTGAACCTCTTCCTGAAAAGGAACCCGTACGAAGTCAAAGTGTATCTGTTTGTTCTGCCTCCTTACTTCAAAGCCAAGTAATTCAGGTTCGGGTGGAGCGCCGAGCTTGGGATTTGGTGGTTTGGGGTTTACGGATTCGGGTGTGCCCAACCCTAAACCCTTCTGCCGAAGCCTTGTCTTGAAAAGCCGATCACGCGCCTTTTAAGTCGAGCGGAGGCCAAGGTTAATGTAGGAACCTGATTAAGATATCCTGCGCCTAGAACCCCCAAAATAGTAGGTTTCAATTAAGGAACCCTAATAAAGGCCCAAGGTTTCTTAATCAGGTTCCTACATTCGTAAACCTCCTTCCCCCAGGATAGAGACGAAGCAAGGATCTCACCACCATGGCCCCATGTACGGAGGGCGGGCAGTTACTGTTGATGATATAAACCCTGCATCTCCCAGAATAAGGAGTATACTACAGCTCCCATTCCCATAGTTTAGGGTCCTTAAGATAATGCAGGATTTATATCATCAGCCGTCATTACTCAGGTATCGAAATGATTTTACACGAGATCCTGTGTCGTGAAAGATCGACCCATCGTTGAAGACTTTCTCTTTCCGCATGAACCCCGAAAAGCAGTAGCACTCCAATGGAGAAGTGTTGAATGAGCCAGAGCCCTTAAACCAAAACCAGAAACAACCCATGAAGGAGCCTGAAGTGAGCCAAGGCTTCAGGTAGTCGGATGCCTGTAGCCCTACTGTCTTCAACATACTAGTAGCCGCTTTTGACCCCCTGACTCTTGCGGCAGCAGGGTTTTGGGATTTAGTTTCAGGGTTTTAGTGTTCTGGGTTTTGTTCGGATCCTTGGCAATTGGAGCCACCAGGCAAGCCCTGTTTCGCAGGTCATTGATCTCACGGCAGGCCTGGGACATGGCCCTGGGGTGTTTTTTTTGCAGGTTTGGGTGAGGTTGTCTTTGGGGGCCCAAGTCGAAAAACGTTCAGTTTAAGCATGAATATACTCCTGGTCTACGGGCCCTGATTCAAAAAGCACAAATATCCCGAATCCAGAACCCAAAACCGCTGAGTTGAGCATGCACATGGCTTAGCTTAGCCCATGTTTTTCAGTTACCTCTCTCTCCACGTTCTTAAGTGTTTTAATATTTACATTCGCGCACACGCACACACACACACACACACACACACACACACACACACGCTCACACACTCACGCACTCACACGCACACGTACGTCAACGCTTTTCTGTGCCATGGTGCTGGGCTGTGGCTAACGTTGTGACGGTGACAAACAAACGCCCTTCAGCCTCGCGCACGCTCGCAAGTGTTTGGAGTAAATGAATCGTAGCTCATCTTCGGGTCCGCGGCTTGGTCATGTCTGTGTATTCGCAGATAATATGTGTGCGTATATATATATATACACACACATTATACTATATATATATATATATATATAGAAGTTTAGCTAGTCAAGCTTCTGTTCAGTTGTTATTTGAGGTTGAGGCGTCCAACGCCAAAGGTTATGCTTCGCATGTTCGGAGCCGCAGTGCCTTCATGCGACATTTCAACACCGACTGGTTATTCGCTGGTGGTTGAAATGATTGAAAAACTCCACTTGGCACCAGCAGCCTGAACATTTCCTTGGGGGTTCCGAGACGCACACCTCTCTTCCACAGGGATCCTGAGAATCAGATCCCATAGTACGCTCGCCGGAACCTGCAACATCAGGCCAATAGCACCCCCGAAGCAAGAGACATCCCCTGAGTCATAACGCCTTCCATGTTACATGAGTCGTGAATATTACCGAACGAAGGCATATGCCGTGCTGTCAGAGAAGTCTGAGTTCGGTATCTACATGACTCGCAGGTTCTCTGTAGTCATACGTTTGAAGTTATTGCCTCCCCTGGCCCCAGATCCATCGGCGCGGCTTGGCAACCGCTGAGATATTGAAGTTTGCCGTCCTTGCTGTAATGTGTTGTCCAAGTATACATGTTAGCTACTGTTACGTCGTATTCGTACTGTCGATATTGTTGTTTGCTGCTGCCGTTGCTCTTGCTTTTGCTTCTGCTCTTTCTGCTGCATCTGCTGCTGCCGCTGCCGCTGCTGGTGACGCTGCAGTCGTTGGTGCCAACTTTATGCTGGCGTGCCGCAATTCGTGGTTGTCTTCTTGGGTCTGGAAGTGCTTGAGGTGATGGCTGTCATGGGTTTCAGCTTGACTCAGCTTAATTAATGATGTCTCGTCCACTCCATACCCATGTTGCCCCTGGAAGAAGCACTCCAAAGTCCTGGGTGATGCCAGTCATGTGGCTCCTTCAAGCAAGGCAAAAAGCTGGATGCGGCGAATATGAAATGCCCGAAAAGGCAGCTTTGAAACCCACACTAAACGCCAGCCCCCAAAAAAACTCTAAACTCAAAACCTTTAAGACACGGCGGGCTTTATCGACTGCTGAAGTGAGCCTTTTTATGAGCTGTAGGGCCTCAGGAAACAGATGCTTCGCAGCCAGGAGCTCAATCAGCCCAGGCACACAACCCAGAGACTCCAATGTCCCTTCATAATTAAGGAGTATACCTTAAATCAAATTATGGAAGGATGCCTACAATGATTGAAGGAAAGTTCCTTAATTCAGGTAAATGAAGGAGTCTCTGTGAATCACAAGCCCTAACCCGAAAGCCCTGCATCGCATGCTTGTACTTCGACTCCTAAGCACACGAAAAGGTTCCGGCGAAGCATCACCGTAAACCCTAAACCCTATAAACCCTACACCTGCACCTGACACCTCAAATCCACAATCCTGAAACCCTACACCTACACCTGACACCTCAACAATCCTTACCCCTAAACCTTAAACCCTAGGTCCTTAACCGAAGTTCAGCCCAATGTCCGAGGAAGGTCAGTCTGCACGGCTCGATCCCTGAGAGTTCCTCGACACGGGCATGACGGGTTTGGTTTTGGGGGTTTAGGATTTATCAGGTTCAGAGTTTGGAGGCTTGCGGCTAAGGTCTATAAGTCTATTTATAGGGTTTACGGCTCAGGGTTTTTTGAATTTAGGGTTTAGGGTTCAGGAGTCTGTGAACTGCGACACTTTTCAGTCTTAGAATTCTTACTCTGGTACGGATGGTGGAACTAGGTTCAGGGTGTCGAAGGCGGTCTTGGATGGCAGGTTTGCGCTTGAGGATTTAATTCCCCTACGTCCGGCGGTTATTGAAATTGCCACCCGGTCTCTGGTTTCTGAACGGTCTGAGATGACATCTCTTGGCCATACGGGATGTCAGGTTTTCCGCGCTCCAGCCCAAAGCCGCAACCTTCAGTTGATGGTTTCGATTTTGGTGTTCAGGATCCAGCTGCAGTATTAGGGGTTTTGGTTTTTGACCTGGGCTGTGCCTAGACTGCCCAAGTATCGCACCGATATCACGAATACCCACAAGTTAGGCCAAGCCCCTTGAGGTCATCTTAAAGATTAGGGCTTCAATGACAAAAAGCAGAGCAGGAATCGTTCTTCAAGTCTTTGGGTGCCGCCGCATCCAGAAACTTCGACCCTAAATGAACACCCAATCCCCGACACCCCGAAGCCCCCCAAAAGACTCTCAAAACTTCAAGGTCTTGGCCAGCTGCTGCAGCTTCGCACCTCGGCGTATTCGATTCCACCAAAATCTTGTCATTTGTTGCTGCGAAGATAAATTCATTAGGGGTTGAGAGTCGGGTTTCGAGTGTCTTCCTAAGGTTATGAGGCTTTCCTCCGACGAGTATTTCTCAAAATAGCAAGGCTTATTGCACTGCCGTGTTTAAGGACATAGGCAGGAGAGGTAGAAGAGAGAGAACCTTTGTGACAGTCCTGTCTATCTGGTGCTATGTTGTGCCTCTTCTGGTTGTCTGTTACTGTTACTGTATGTCCTCTTATAGGGTTCTTAATAATTACCTATAGTAGTATGTTTGTTGTGTTTGTTTTGAGGGGGGAGGTCCTTGTAATATAGTTGTAGTATAGTGGGCCCCCAAACCCTATTCTAATCGCTAAAGACCCTCTATTATATTGTTGTGTTTTGGACTTTTTGTTCGTCTCCTTTTTTATTTCCCTTCGTCTCTGCTCCCCTCTAATCACATCTCTTCTCTCTCTTTTCGCCTCTGTTCTCATCCACTCTCCTCGTTCCCTCTACTGTCTTCTCATCTCGTTCTCAATCTCTTCTGACCTCCTCCTCTCTTTGCTTCTATCGGTCTCTGCTTTCCTCTGATGCTCTTAGTCTATGGTGAGGTTGAGGCTTGACGTAGGGGGCTGAAGATGGGTGGTGTCTGGAAGTATCAGTGGTCGCTTCCGGACCTTACGATTCGTGAAAACTGATCTTCTAGAGACTCCAATATCCCTTGATTAAGGAATATTCCCTAAACCATACGAGGGATCCTATTATAATTTGGAGTCTCTGATCTTCCCTGTGTTCATGGGCCGCCAACTCAAACTCGATTCCTTTGAAGAGTTGACCTCTTCTTTCCGCGAACCTGCAGGCAGAAGGAGAAGCCCTGAAACCTATCCTTTGAGTTCAACCGAGTTATACAGGAAGTAGGGAATTTAGGATATGTTGAGCCATGTCTACCAACTAAATTTGCCAAACTCGAGACCGAGCCACCTCACTCTCCTCCTTGCAGAAATGTACATAGCCTAAACCCGCCGCAATCCGAAGCCTCAAACCTCTGTTTGGAGGTTCAGAGGACTTCGTAAGTAGGGTTATAAGTAGGGCAGCTATAATCATCTCTACATGTAGCCCTGACTAATTAAGGTACTTATAACCCGACTTCCTGAACCCAACAACAACGATGTCTGAGGCAAGTTGATTCTGGCAAACAACCAGCTCACCGGGGAGCTCCCGGCATCTCTCTTCCAGCCATCCGGCAACCCTAATAAACCTATAGTCTCCATTGTAGTTCCTTTTTGGGGTTGCCTTATAGGATCCGTAATATATAATTGGTTAAACCAAAAAAGGAACTACAATGGAGACTATACGAAGAGTTTAGGAGGCTTTGCTTTTGGAGATTCCATTCAGGAGGTATGTTACGGGTTGCAAGAGGTGTTGTACTTGATGGATCTCTGGTTGAGTCCCAATCAAGCAAAATATCAAACACCTCAAACCCTGAACGAACCACGTACCGCTAGACCGACGAGAACAGTTGCGTGCCACGGTCTCAGGGATCACGGAAGCGGCTTCTGCTTTGGATCGCGTGCGAGCCCCAAACCTGAAAAACACTCAAACCATCTCAGATCCCTTAAGCCCTGAACCCGGAAGAAATTCAAAGACGCATGTGTGCGTCACCCTGCAGCGCTAGGATCTTGTGCGTCAGCAGACCAAACTCCGAAAGCATGTATATACCTAAACGAATTAAGGTAGGAAGACTAAAAATACCCGAGACTAGCACAAAAACAGGATCTTCAAGACCCTCAATCCTGAACCCCTAAAACCTCCTAAACCCCAAACCTAAAGCCGTAAACCCGTTTGTGATCGTGCAGACGGAAAGGGGTGCTGAAAAGAAAAGGCCCTCGAGTCTAAAGTCAGGCTGCGGCAGCTAACGGTCCTGAATTTGGCCGGGAACAAGTTCACTGGCCAACTGGGGGCTCCCTGGCCGATGCAACTGGGGGCTCCCGGGCCGATGTTGCTGTCTTTGAGGGCCACGGTAGGCTTTGGGGTTTGTTTGGGGTTTAGGGTTGAGGGTTTGGGGCCTCATTGAGGCTTGAGCCGTTGACGTTGGATGGGGGGGCATTCGGGTTTAGGGTTTTAAGTGTTATAGGGGTTTAAAGTTTAGGGTTGAGGGTTTAGGGCATTGGGTGTGTGTGTGTGTGTGTGTGTGCTGTGGAGGCTGTTAGAGCTGATGCATGAGAGCGTAGGATCTTCTCTGGGGAAGGAACAGGGTGCGTCCCTTTTCTATATTCCATGTTTCACTGCCTCTTATAGCAACCCACAGTTCTCTCCCAACACTTTTTCTTGAACTCCGCCGTAAGCTTCACTTCAAGCAAAACTCTCAGTCCCACAACCCTGAACCCTACTTCAAGCAAAACTCTCAGTCCCACAACCCTGAACCCTATCATTACAGTAAAAGCCAGAAAGTTGGAATATGATTATCCTAAACCCTTTTTTGGTAAATAATAGGGTATCCTACCCTGAAACCATATTCCAACTTTCTGGAGTTCCCTTTAATGTGCCCGGAACACAAGTCCGGAACTGATCTGATCTGTGCAGCCTTCAAGCACACTTCTAAGCGGTAAGCCGCGGAACCGCAGACCAAAGCAACCCAGCAGAAGCCCTAAGCCCTAAAACCCGAAGCATGTGGTGTTGATAGGGTTTAGGGTTTAGGGTTTAGGGTTTGAGGACATGTTGACATAGGATTTGTGGTTTTGCGGCGTTCGGTCATGGGTTTGGGGGATATGGATACGAGTTGGTTTGGGGTGCTTAGATCGGCGGACAGTACCCCGAAACGCAGATGTAGGAGGTTCAGGCTCCACCTCCAGGGTCCTAGTCCTGATAATCTTAGACTCTCCAAAGTACACACCTAGGTAACTAACTACTATCCTAAACCTAAATAACCCAAGTGCCAAAGTCTTAGGTCCTGTGGGCCTATGCAGGAGGTTCCAAACCCTCGACCCCAAAATCCTAAACCCCTCAGCCCATAAGCCCCTAAACCCTCCACCCTTCAGTTCGGGTCCTCGAAGTATGCAGTTGGAAGCCGAGGAGGGTATTGGGTCGCTGACGCAGCCACGCGGCAACGGTTCAGGGTTCAGGGGTTTGAGGGTTCAGGGTTTAATTTTTCGGGGTTTGCGGTTTAGGGTTTGGGTGAGACGGCTCGAGTTCAGTATACACAAATGAGTCTTTGGGTAGACTGCAGGACCTTGATTCGCGACAATGAAGCAAAACACGCCAGGTGTTTCAGCTTCGTTCTTGAGTTTCTTTCCGCATGCCACTTGAGACACCATTCTGCCTCAGTTTGTGCACCCCACAGGAAAGCAGCAGGATGAAGTGCGCTGAGCTGTTTTGGGGTTTAGCGGTCTCGTAGTTACCATCCATCAACTATCGGATAACTATCATTTCAGAGTTTAAATTAGGGTTTATAGGGCTGCATAGAACGAATCCTGAACACTGTGCCTCTTGCCAAGGAATTCCGCATCAGACTTGTGGTGTTGCTTCAGCTCTTGCACTGTCTGACGAAGCAGCACGCACAACTGAAGTCGAATATTTTTGTTGCAGCAAAGTGCAATTGGTGTAGGTAGCCCTGCGACTTGTTTTGAGAGGAGGAGATAGAGAACGAAGCTGAGAAATCAACCTAGATGTTCTGTTTCGCCTTGCAGCCCTGCAGTACAATGCTTGCGCGAAAGTCCTGGCCTGCAGGAGTGCTTGGCATTCTCCCGAAAATTCCCCCGAACTCTATGGAAGCCCTAACTCCTGAGCCCTGAGCCCTATCTCCCAAACACCGCCCTGATGCTCCTGCTTGCCCGGACAAGGTTGCAGGTGTTGAGTTTAGAGAACAACGCCTTCAGCGGTCCTCTTGCAACATCCTTCGAAAGGCTGTTGCAGCTGAAGGACTGCTTTGGGGCTTTGGGCTTCGGCTTTAGAGTTTGGGCTTTGGGCTTCGGCTTTAACTTTAGGGTTTGGGTTCAGGAACCCTAAACTCTAAACCCTGGCGTGAAGGCATGCAGGGTTGAGGGCTGCAGGGTTTTATGGCAAGTCTCGGGTTTCCGTATTAGAGATTGCAGCTTCCCGTATCCCAAGTCTGCACAACGACTTCCTTTTGAACCCGTCGGTTTCTCATGAGATGAAAATCTTGTCAAGTTTTTGCGCCAAGGGCTCCAGTGTCTACCTAAACCCCAGAAGTAGGCAAAACGAATGGCCCAACTCCTGTAAATGGATATTTATGTACATACTTATAGGGTCCAGGTAGGGCTTCCGTGCAGTGTAGAGCTCAAGGCTCAGGGGGCAGAAATTGACCGGGGTGATGGTTGCAACAGTCGGGTGTTTTCTGGAGACCTTCGCCGGCGGAGATCAGATGCAACACTGATTAGGCTAGCAAGCTGTGCGAGACAATCGGCGGGTGTTACCTATAGTCTCCATTGTAGTCCTTTTTTTGGTTAACCAAAAACTATACTGGAGGATCCTAACCATAAAACTTGCTAACCAAAAAGGAACTACAATGGAGACTATGGGTAAGAGGGGTCGGAATCATTTCCCGGTACGGACTCTGATTCATCAAGGCTCCTTCCTGGGCCTCAGGGGTTAGGGTTTAGGGCTTTATCAACGCATCTGGGCCTCTAAATCCTCCCTGAAGGCCCTAATCAGCCGAAAGTCCAGCAGCCGAGTACTGAACCTACGGTTGATGATATAAATCCTGCATTACCCATAATAAGGAATACACCATAATTCCCATGGTTTAGGTCCTTAAAGTAATGCAGGATTTAAATCATCAACAGTATGACCTAAATCTATAAGGTTTAGGGCTTAGGGTTAGTAGGTTAGGTAGGCCCTAGATTCCCTAGATCCTAAACCCTACAATCATCAACCCTGGCCCTTACCTAAACCCCCCAAAAAATAAGCAAGATAACGGCCCGGCGCCTGCAACATGCTATTATTCTAGATACTTTCGGGGGTTCATGTGGGTAATTGTCAAAATTATGCTCCCTTTTTGGGTACCCTAAATATTGGGTGCCGTATTATATTAGGGACCCAAAAAGGGGCCCTAAATTTGACAACCACCCATGTAGAGACGAAGTTCGGCCCAGCTTCCTTGGTGCCGAGGAGCTGAATCTCGCGGGCAACGCCCTCACAGGCTCCGTTGTCCCAGACTTCCTCAGCCAGGTTTTGTTGATGTCGATGTTTGGGGTAACGGCTTGCCATTTGCGGGTTTGGGGTATATATATATATATACATATACATATATACATATATACATATATACACATACATATATACTATAATCATAATGAGGAACTCCCAAAACCACATTCTATACTATAATAGGGTTTAGGATTTGGGGCTTCAGGGTTGCACGTTCCCATCACACCTGGCGTTAAGACACAAGTGGGGGACGGGGATTTATGGTGGTTCAGGCTTTGGTGTAGGGATGCAAGGCATCTTCAGCTCGGAAACAGTGCCCAACGTTCCAGAAGAACACATAATAATGGTTTAAGGTCTTGGGGTCCAAGGTTTAAGGTGTAATTAGGGCCGCGGCCTTCGAAGCTTTCCGACGGCAACTACTTTCAACAAAATGAGCCCTCCGACTTATGTGCACATGAGGCTTAGCGGCTTAGCTGCAGCTGCTGGAAGACGCACCGAGCTTCCATGACAGACATGAACATGCTTCGCGCTTACAGCAAGATGCTAAGATGTAAGGCCCTGAACACAGTCAAGGCTGCAACCCTCAAGCCTAAGGTACAGGATCGACAGAACCGGCCAAGCCGAAGTGCCTGTTCATCAGGCTTAGAATGTAAGGGATTTCGTAAAGCGTTCGGCTACCTTGCATCTTAAGAGTCTTGAAAGTGCCGTGTCTTGGCAGTTTCCAGTTTTTGTTAGGGTCTTTTCTTTGCCGAACCCCCCTCACTTAACTTACTAGTGGGATATATGTTGCATGCAGGATTCTCAAAGGCTTCGGGTGCGTTTTCTCTTGAACCCTGTGACCGCAGGATAGCCCTGTTGCAGGAGGAAACAGATCAAACACTGTTGTTTCGTTTCACGGTTGCCCCAGCCAGGTCCACAATGACAGACAATGCCAATCACCATGATTTCATTCCGGCTGCAAACTAGCAGGGCATTTTGGATTAGGCCTATGCTCAGGTGGGCGCAAGTGCTCCGAAGCGGTAATGCTCGTCTATACCCCAAAACCAATTGCTGATTCTCCTGGGCCCCCTGAACCCAGCAGCCTCTGCTGTCAGTTTGCCTTGGAAGGCGACGTGCTAAGCGAACTGGGACAGATGTTGCAGCTGAAGACCCTCTCGTTGGCCAACAACGCAGCATGCCTTTGAATGGGGTTAGGGCTTATAGTGTGTGTAGGGCTTTGTCGTGGATGGATAAATTTGGATTATGCTTTCAGGCAGACGTAGACACTGTGCCCAACATTCCCTGAGACTCAATTGCTCTGGCTAAGCCTCGATAGCTTTTCTGAGCCTTGATTACGGTTACAAGTTAAGTAGATATGACCACTTACGAAGTCCTCTGATCCTCCAGGTAGGTGTCCAAGAGCTTGAAACCGCAACCTAAGCCTAGGCACCCAAGCGTTTGGTTCAGTTTACTGTGATGGTATGAAGATATGCACCAGGCTTCTGTGACCCAGATACAAGCTCTTTACAAGCATTTGAGGTTGGTCAGGTTTTGAAATTACGAGGGGCTGGATTTCCGAACCACACTACGTACTCAACAGTCTAACCGGATGTTTCAAGCTTACTCCTTGTATTGTTGAAGTCATACAGGTCTTAGATCCCTACATAGTTACCTGAAGAACATCCCAGTAAAGTCCCTGTAGACTGTCCCCTAAGGGTCCATGTGCTGATGTGTCTTATAATCTTTGGCCTCGCAGAACTCCCACTATAGGTAGTTTGGCAAGTATCTTCGGCCAATGTACATACTATTCGGGTTCGTGGACCCTAAACCCTAATCCCTAAACCTTAAACGACTCTAAATGATAAACCCTATCCCTAAAGTTTAGGGAGAGGGTTTAGGGGAGTTTAGGGTTTAGGGTGCTACAATAGATCTCTAGTATCAGGGCCCGGCAGGTGCCCTACAGCATCCTCAACCCAAACAGGACAAAGCTAACCCCCCGCCCCAGTGGAGGAAAAATAAACAAAGGTTCGATAAGACCCCCTCCCCTCCCGAACAGGTTCAGGATTTCGGTGGATTTCAGCTGGGGTTCGGACTTTGGGTTTATAGGGTTTTAGGGACTAGGATATGCCTAAGGAAAGGTATTACTATACTTCCTCCGGCGTCTTTACTACCTATTGGTCTTGTGCCTTTCGTTTTGGATCTTCGTGCTTCTAGGGTCCAGAAGTTGGAACCTCCCAGGAGTCGGGCTCAGGGTTTATACGTGGTTTAGTTGGCTAGGACCCAGAGTAGGCCCTTATTCCCTTTCTTGAGGCTTAGGTTCCCTTGTAAACCCCTTTACACAAAAAGGGCACCCTTTTTATTCCTAGGTTACTCTTAGTTCTAGTTGGGGTTTAGGAGTTTTAGGGTTTCGGGGTTTATACACATGCATTGAGGGTTTCACAGCTGCTTTAATGAGGCATAAGCCGACGTGTGGTCTTGTTGGCTCCGAGCGTTCGGGGTGTCGGGTGCGAAAACACAAGCCCCCATACCTCACCCAAAGGGTCCAAGTATCATGATGGTCTATACTTATAGGGCATTTTGGGGGTCTAAGTATAGACCATAATGATACTTGGACCCTTTGGGTCAAGGTGCTGAAGGGGCGCCTTCCCGAGAGTCTCGGCAACTTGCAGCAGCTCACAAAGCTGGAGTTGCAAGGCAGTCCAGTGGGTTTCGGATTTTGGGGGATGCAAGGACTGACCTGCCCGTAGCCAGCAAACCTAACTTGAAACCTATCACGGTATCACAGACCACTTCAGATCTACGGTATGTAACCCTGAAAGCGGTAGGTCAGTTGCAATCTAATAGTCTGAAAACCTTATGTCCTTTCAGCTTCTCGTGGCGTATGGCTTTGGGATTAAGTGTTCAGGGGGCCGGGCTTCCTTCGTGCGTTCTGCACTCGAGGTTTTGGGGCTTGGGCAGGCAAAGGGGCTGTGGGATTCAGGGCTCAAGGGTTCAGGCTCGAGGGTCTTACTAGCTCTTGGGTCCAAGGCCCAGCAATGTCCATTGAGCAAGGACCCAGCAGATCTTTCAAGTTAAAGAGGCATCCTGCAAACTATCTATCGTACAACCGTAGTCCTGAACTCTACAACCTCGGAAGCATCGTTTTTCATCCTTGTAGCACCTGCTGGCGGGAACCTGCAAAATCAAACATGAGACTCTGTAAAACCTTTACCTGCGGCTCTTGGGGTCCTACAAAGCCCGTTCCAAAACGTCCCCAGAGACTCCAATATCCCTTAATTAAGGAATATACCTTAAATTACAATAGGCCCTAATGTGATTTAAGGAATATTCCTTAATCAAGGGATATTGGAGTCTCTGGGTCTCGTTTCCCGAAGCCACGCACAAGGAGATTCCAAACATGCCTGTCGTCCGTATGCCTTGAACTCCGAACCCTACCTGTAGTCTCCATTGTAGTTCCTTTTTTGGTTAACCAAATACTATACTACAGGATCCTAACCATAAAACTGGTTAACGAAAAAAAGAACTACAATGGAGAGTATAGGTAAGAGGGATCGGAATCATTTCCCGATAGGGACTCCTTAGAAAATACAACGGAGACTACAGGCAAGAGGATGCTTAGAGGATCAGGGGACTTAGTAAGCAGGGTTATAAGTAAGGTAACTATAGCTAGCAGCTAAATCTACTTGTAACCCTAATTACCACTATGGGCTATTAGGCCTTAAGGGTACCTTAATCTACCCTTAATAGGGTCCTAATAGGATCTTTAGGGTCTAATAGCCCATAGTGGTAAGGTACCTAAATATGTACGTAAGCTCCTGAACTCGAAATCCCTGGGAAGGCAACGACTTCTCGGAGCCTCTGCCGGATACACTGGGCCGACTGACAGAGTTGCTGCTGGGCTTCCCCTTATGACTCATTCCTACTAGTATTCGTACTATAGTATTAGTAGAATACTGATATTTGTACTATGGTATTAGTTTAATACTGATATTAGTACTATAGTATTAGTATAATATTAATAATACTATAGCATATTAGTACTAGAGGCCGGCAGCAGGTCCAAGCCAGGGATCAACATGTTCATTCACCGAAATTACAAGACTGGGGTTTGGGACTCTGGGTTATGTAGCCGTGCAGCCACTCCATCAGTTCATGTTACATTCCCCCCCACCCCGAGACTCCAATATCCCTTAATTAAGGAATATACCTTAAATTATAATAGGATCCCTAATATGATTCAGGGAATATTCCTTAATTAAGGGATATTGGAGTCTCTGGGCATCGCCTTCCCCAGCCCCAAACCGTAGAGCTTTCCAAACCCTAAACTCTAAGCCCGACGCTGGTGGACAAATTCGTGTGCACTGCACTGAACAAAACCCTGCGAGCGCCAAGCCCTTTGTCAATCCTGAAATTACCGCTTAGAGTTAAGGCTAAGGGAACCCGGAACCATTCGAGGATGCTGAGAGGTGCGCCTTGCAAACAGAAACGAACCTTAAATCCAACCTCAGGAAGACGCTGCGTGTGAATGTGAGCACGGTTCCGTTCACGCTGAGGCCGTGGTAGCCGGCTTTGGATTTCTGTCCATGTTGGGTTAGGGGTTTAGGGTTCAGGGTGTATGTAATTAGATCAACCGTTTTCTCGTCTGGTGCCCGGCAAAGGAGGCAGGGTTCAGAGACAGAGCGAAGTTAGAAGAGGCTGTGGTTTGCTGGTTTCCAGATTTAGCATATATGCCTGAGCAGACATCCTAAGCTCCCCTTGCGCCGCTGTCGTTAAATCATTTCCGTGGCATCCCGAGCCGGGAGCAGATTCAAGACAAAACTGCCCAAGGCAGACATCTTTGGTATGAAATCCTACCACGTACTTTCGGGGTTTTCTTACCTTTTAAAACACTACATTCCCTACTTAAGTAATTTTGGAATGTTGTGAAACGGCTGAACCTCATCAAGGCCCGAAACCTTGAGATCGGTGCGCTAACGCTAAGATCAACCAGGCCCATTGTCATGCCCCTAGTGTCGGGACCTGATTAAGAAACCTTGGCCCTTTATTAGGGTTCCTTAAAAACTTATATGAATCCTACTATATTGGGGGTTATAGGGCCAGGGTTTCTTAATCACGCTCCTACATTAGCACTCAATGGACAATGGAGGTGTGTTGGTGTTGGCGGTCCTGGGTCAGAAGCACTAAGCAGACCCACTCCAGACCCTAAACCCAAGACCTTGAACCCAAGCCCTAAACCGCAAGCTTCAAACCCTAAACCCTAATCCTTAATCCCGAAACCCCAATCCCTTAACCCTGATTTCTGAACCCTAAACCCTATAAACCCTAATCCCTAAATCCTGAACCCCTAAGCAGAGGCGCCTCACTGAACTGCAAGACTTCTACCTCAATGGTGAGGCGCCGCAGACCTCACGCTTGAGGGTTTAGGGCTTCAGGGTATAGAGTGTGAGGTTTCAGGTTTAGGGCTTTGGGCTGAGGGCTAGAAGTTTCGGTTTTTGTGTCTAGAGCCAGAGTCAGCTTAGATTCAGGGCCTTCAGACGCCCTAGGCCCTACTAAACCCCACACCCAACACCGTTCCGTTAAGAGTCCCTTGCTTCAACGAAGGGGGCCTGGAAAACTAGACAGGTGCATCCCTTAGGGCTCCCAAGCCAGACCGACCAAAATTCCTTAGTTAAGGATTATACCCTAAATTAAGTAGGGTCCCTAATATGATTTAAAGGTATATTCCTTAATTAAAGGATTTTTTGGAAGGTCTGGGAAGCCTTTCCAGCCGCTTAAGAGCCCCAAAGGGTCCCAGGTACTGTTTTTGGGGGGATGCTTCTCAGTAGCCTCTTATAGAAAAAACCCCTATCATGGGCTAGGTAGGCCTTTGGGACATTTTACATTTTCCCCTACTGGGCAGGACCCTATTTACGAATATTGTTCAGAGGCTTTAGATGGCCAGCCTACATTCCCAAGGGTCCTATGTACTGTTATGGGGGATACTTCCCTACGTCATAACAGTAATTCCTAATATGGAAACCCTACTTTCTACTAAGAGGGGGTTTCCGAAAATATGGGACCCTAAAATAGTAAGCTTTGTTGGAGCCGGGCCTCGAATTTGAAAGTCGAGCGATTGAGGCTTCTGTCGCTTCGGAAGACCAGGCCCTTAGCCCTACCTCACCCAGAGAGCCCAATACCCCTTAATTAAGGAATATAGCTTATTAAATCATAACATGAAACCCTATATAATTTAAGCCATATTCCTCAATTAAGGGGTATTGGGCTCTCTGGGCAACCCTGAATAACCTACCTTTTTTAGGGATTTTAGGGTTCCTTATTATGATTTCCTTATGTAAGTCCCTAAAACGGTAGGTTATTCGGGGTAAGCCAAAGGGCCCACAAGAAGGCAGCAGGCCTCCGTGTGATAAAAGATTGAACGGCGAGATGACCACTGGAACTTGAGATTGTTCTATTTTCAGGTTTTCGGCTTACATTTACATGTCCGCCGCCAGTCTGACAAGGCAGGCCTGGGCAGAGGCACATCACCCCACAGACATCACACCCGCACCCCCGTCCAATTCTATTATGGACCCTAAAAGCCCTCGTCGCCCTAGGTGGGATCCTTCTTCTGAGCACGCCTGATGGGGTTTAAGGTTTAAGGTCTCGTTGGCACCCTCCCTCCCCCACGTTTTGAACAGTCGAACTGCGCGCCTGTCATCAACGACAACTGCCACCTCTTTGAGACCGGCCAAGGCTGCCAGCAGGACGATTGCGACATGAGCCCAACATCCATACTATACTCTGCTACACTGTATTGTGCTACACTACTAAATATATATATATCTATATATATATATATACTTTTATGATCATAATGTACTATGAAATCATCGAATGAAATATGTTGTAAAATCCATCTCCAGAAGCCGTGGCACCCTCAATCCCCCATCAGGACCCCGAAACCCGCAAGTGTCTGCTGCCCAAATACTCTTCCAAACTACTTAGCAAGCTATGACGAGCAAGCATGCCGGACTGCTCTTGGCGTTCGGGCTTCCGGGTTGAGGTCCTCGAAATGTTCGAGTTCCGGGAATCCGAGACTTGAGGACTACTGTTTCAGCATCTGAGGAGAGTTTGTGTGAGAGCATGATAAGATAGCAGGGTGTCTCACACTTACATACCTATGCTGTAGCAAAACGTCATGTGGGTGGTTGTCAAAATTATGGTCCCTTGTTGGGTCCCTAATATAGTACGGCACCTAATATTTAGTGTGCCTAAAAAGGGACCTTAATTTTGACAACCACCCATGTTAGCTATTACGACCCTACAGGGTGTTTCAAAAATGACGCAGGGCTCTCAGGAGAGCGGCTGGCCGGAATTGAGCTTGACGTGCTGCCTTGTTCTTATCCTAGGTATCCATGTCTGTGCCTGTGGGACATCCCTACAGCCACAAACCCCCACGTGCACTTAAACAGAATATGGGCCCGGAAAAACTGGCAGCCGAAGCCTCATCCCTTGAAAACTCGCAAACTCGAGGAGATTGGGTTTAGGCTTGAAGCCCTGAGCCCTTAAACCTGAAACCCTGAACGCTTACACCGAAACCCTCATTGCGTTCACGGCCCAAATAACGAGAGTTTTTCCGAAACCTTGGACAGGGGCCTCGGGCTGTGCTTCATGAAGCTATGAAGCCTAAAACCTATTGGGCTATTTAGGCTGAATTGTTCAGGGCTAAGGATGTTTTAGGTTTAGGTTTTAGGCCTGTATAGGGTTTAGAGCTATAGTGTCCTAAACCCTCTTGGCGTGTTAGTACTGTCACACAGGTGGGCTTCAACACCTCCAGCCCCCCGCCCTTGCTCCACAAGTTGCTTCCATGATATGCGACGATCTGGTGCCAGGACGAAGAAGAGCTCATCACAAAGATCATGAAGAAACCTGCCTGCAACTCTTTCCCCCAGACATCACCTGACGTCTTGTTCTGTCTTTGACATCGTCGTATAGTCGTAAGCCAACACCCACTGTTCGAGTCAGGGCCATAGGCACCCTAGCAAAGGTTCTCGGTAGGGTCCTGTTGTTTGCGAATTTGCGTTCAGGATTTACAGGTATGAAAGCATTCTCGTTCAAACAGCTGACTGCTGCTTGTTGACGACCTCCGCCCCCTTCCTAAGATGCCGGGGCATCTGGGCAACGCCCGGTTTTGGTGCAAGTCCGAGGATTTGTTGACGCTTTTTGTAGCATCGTGGGTCGACGCGGTTTCTTGGGGGTTTGACTCTGAGAGCTTTGCAAACTACAATTGCTTCCGGGCTTCGGCTTTTTTTGGAGTCAGGAGTTTCAGCAGCTACAGGGCTTGCTGAATGCTTCGGTGAGCAAGGCATACAGGCTCATTTCCCTAAGCCTACCTTAACCCCGAATAACCTATACGTTTTTGGTGGAATTATACCAGGCAATCATAATAAGGAACCCGAAAAAGGTAGGTTATTCAGGGTTAAGGCAAACTCTCCAACATTTACAGTAAAAGCCCAAAAGTTGGAAACCCAATAGCCTCGATCCTTGAGAGTAATGTGTAGGGAATCCCAGCACCGTTTGGCCTTAATCCGGTTTCCAACTTTATGGGGTTTACTTGTATTTCGGGGGTCGAGGCAAAAGTGTTTACTAAACCCCAAACCCTTTCTGGGCTTTCAGCGCCTAGCGTCTCTGGACCTCAAGCACTTTGCGCAGGCTTCCAAGGGTCAGGGCTACGATCGGACTTAGGTAGATTATCGTCATGACTATTTTACGTGACCTTTGTTGTCATGATTGTTCTTGTGTTTTTTAGTATTAGTCTACTGCGTCGTTGTTGTTCGTCTTAGCACTAGTACCTGAATTATGGCTATTTTCACCCAGCCCCTGACACACACAATGCAGAGCTCGCAAGCCCTGTAGCCCCAACCCGACAGCCCAAGAGTCCCATTGCCAAACTCTGGAAAGCATGAAACCCTAAAGCTCGGGACACAGCCCAGGACCTGAAACCCCGAATCCCCGGGACCCGACACACAAGCACCCCCCCTCAACCCTAAACCCTAAACCCATAAACCTTAAACCCTAAACCCTAAACCCTAAACCCTAAACCCAAACTAAAGCCCCGAAAGCTAACATGAGGAGCCTTTGGGGCAACAACTACGAGCGGTATACCCGCAGCTCGGAAGCAGACGGGGAGAGTTTTCGGTGGTGGAACCCGGGGTTCAGGGTTTCAGGATTTAGGGTTTAGGGGTTCAGGGTTCAAAGTTATAGGGTTTAGGGCTTATCGGTCTAACTTAGGCTTTAAAGGTGTGGGATTTGGGGTTTTAGGGACTTTGGCTTAGGATTTAGCGCTTTTAGGGTTAAGGTTTCACGGTCAGCGTCATGCCCTGGTCCAGTACCGTGCCTGAGAAGCCGTGCACTTGGCTTGAATCCGCGATCTGCAGACGAATATAGGGGCTGAAGACTTGCCTATACTATTCCTTGGGGTTCCATGATACTCTAAGACACCCCAATTCCCTGTTAGTTATGAAGGCTCCTATATTTTCGAGGCTTGATTAAGTACCTTCTTTTGGGGTCGGCTTTGGTGTATAGCCGCCCCCAAAGCCCAAGTCTAGTGGCTCAGGCCCCTTTTGTACAGCCGTGCTGTTCAAGCCCATGTTTGAGGTCTGAACCTTTGAGACTCAGGGTTAGGAACGGTTAGGAGGGATGGAAGTGTGTAGTTAAGTTTGGGGCTGAAGCCTAGGGCTATACGACGCATCGGTTTTGTAGCTGGGGTGTTCGCCTGGCTCAGGGTTAGGATAGACAGTTCAGGGGCTAGGTTACTTGCATAGGGGGAGGCGAGAGGGGCATCTAGGCTTCCTTCATGGTCTCGCAGGGTTTTGTCAATCCAACTCCCCCTGAAGCAAAAGGTTCTACACCATCAAGACCCACAAGGTACCAGATATCCAGTTTACGGAGTAGTCGTCAGGGGATATCTGGACAAATTGTGGCGCAGTTTACGGAGTAGCCGTAAGGGGATAGCTCGACAAATTGTGGCTGTAGTTCGGGATATACCTTAAACATCCTTAAACCGTAGAGATCGATGGTCTCTTCCCGACCAAGGTGTTCGGAAATATCTGGCATGCAAGTCCAACCCTTATGTAGATCCCCTGAGGGAGCCCGTAAAACAGCGCTTAAAGGAACCCTTTCAAGGCCCCCGTCCAAGAAATCCTAGACCCTTATAAGCCCTAAACCCCTAAACTCCTAAACCTAAACCTAAATCATATCTAACCCTTACAGGAACCAAAAACAAATAGCAAGTCCAATGATCCTGCAAGTGGTACCCCCCCAGGTCGACTGGAGGGTTGCCCCTGCTTCTGGCATCGCAGCTGACTTTGGCTTGCCCTACGTTACGGGGGGTCCATGTTACTCAAATAATGTAAGGGTTCGAAAGAGGGGTTCTTGTTAAGGCTTCCTTTTTTCAGGGGCCCTTGTTAATTGAATAAGTTAGGGGTTCCATAGAAGGGTTCGTTTTTGATGATTCTAGAGGGGGGTTCCAGGGTTTAGGTTTCAGAGTCCATATACATATATATATATATACACACACATACATACATATATTTGCGTGCGTGTGTGTATGCGTATATACATATTAGTTCAGCGTACACTAACCCGATAGCGGCTGCTTGCAAAATGGTGCGAACTCAGGTGCGCATAGAAAAAGCAACGATACGGATTGAGGGTTTAGCGGTTCTCGCGGTAAATCAAACGAGGCCTTCCGCATCCCACACCGACGACTTGGTGGTTGCGCTATGTGGGTCCTTCTAGGGCTTTTTCGAGGGCTTGTGCCGCTTTCTCCACTTTGCCGCGTGAAACCTGCCAAATCGAGCCGAGGATTAGGGTTTAGGGGTTGACAAAAGGATCAAGGCCAGGCTGGAGGGTAGAACTCTAACAGAATAGCTGAGCGGCGTTAGGAAGAAATGGGTCATTGCACGTTCCGGGTTGATAGGGGCTGCGGGGCGAGCCGTGAGAGAACAACTGTTCTCGGTTGGTCAGTGTTCTGTTTCCGAGTTCGCGCATGCCTTCACATTTTCCGAAGCTTAGGTACGGTGTTTCCTGCGTGAGGGAGAACGGCTTCCTGAGAGTATGGGGCTTGAACATCAAGGACGGTCTCTTACTTGCTGCAAAATGTGCAAACACCGACACTTCTCGGGTGTAAGGGCGCAGGTGCTAAGTTTTGGCGCCCCTCTTAGGCAAACGAGTGAATCTCTGTCATCTGCCCAATCACGGGTCGCATGCATTAGCGAAGCCTTCAGCCCGAGGGTGTGAGTAGATCTCATTTCAAGCATGGTTCGGACAGATGTTGGCAAGTGATTAACCCTAACCCCATGCTTTTAAACCTTGGTCATCATACTATAGAATGTACATCTGTCGGCTCCGGGTGAGGACCAGTTCTGGTATAAAAGCATACTATACGCTATAATCTGTCCCACACTATATGCCTCCCTCGCCACATATTACCAGCCGAAGCCCTGAGACTTTGAGATCCGATGTGCGCTCGACCTTGGTCCTACAATTGGCCCAAGGTGCCTTCAAGACAGATCGAGTCATAGGGTTAGAGTTAGAGTTTGGGGTTTAGGGGTTTAGGGTTTAGGCTTTAGGGTTTAGGGTCAAGGTTTTGGACGGTTCGGGCGTAGGGCTTCTAAGCTCAGTCAATCCTTCAAACCTTGCTCGAATCTCTTTCCAAGCCAACACTTGAGCAGTTTGCTAGTAAGCCCCGCTGAGGCTTGCATTGAATCAGGGGTCCACGTCCTAAACCCTAAACCTTACCAAATCCTAAACTCCTAAACCCTAAACATTAAACCCTAAACCTTAAACCCTTATGTGAGCTCAACCAGCTGGGCAGACATAAAAAGGGAGCTCAAAGAAATAAAACCCTAAACTCAATCCCCAAAACTAAACGAGAGGACTTGGAGTTGAATGGGACCTTGCCAGATGAGCTTGGGTCCCTTGCCAACCTCAAGGACATGAGCTTCGGGCAGAACTTACCTTTGGTTAGTAGGGAATGGAAGAATGGTAGTAATAGTAGTTATACTTGTACCCCACTCCTCCATTCCCTACTAACCAAAGGTAAGAGAAGGGGTTTACGGTTGAATGATTTCGGGCTGTAGGGTTTGAGGGTTTGAGGTTTCTGGGGTGGAGAGTCCAGGTTGCCTGGTTGGTTTTTTGCTCTCCGGAGTATAATCGTGTTTTAGTGGTGCTTGTTGTAGCAGTGCATCTTTTGGAGATCTTCGGAACCCCTGGTCTGTGGAGGACAGTGGAGAGCATCTGTTGACCAGACTTTCCAAACCGCAGTACCTTCCCTTTACACTTTACAAATCATAAACGCTGCGCTGTCTAAGCTCTAAAACCGTGCACCCTAAAACCCTTCCACAACTGTCACATCAACACCCTAAAACCGTCGGTCCTTAAACCCTACACCCTACAGTCATCCCTTAAACCCTCACAGCGCTACAACACCACCCGGCGAGCTTTACCTCTTGAGTGTCCCGGCCACGCGCAGCAGGAGATTCGTCTCGTGGGAAGTCTGACAGGCTGGACTGAAAGGGGAGGGGCTGATTGGGACTCAGGGGTTTAGGGTCTAGCTGTTTAGGGTCTAGGGGTTTAGGGTTTTGGGTCCAGGGGGTCGGATTTAGGGTTTAGGGTTTGGGGGTTTGGGCTGGCAGTTAGGGTTTAGTGACTTAGACTAGGGGCCGGCGAGGGTTCAGGGCTGGGGGCTACGTAGAGTTCTTTCTGACTTGAGGCATCTAGGACATGATTTGAACCAGAAGGGGAGGGCTAGCGGGTTTGGGTTTAGGGATTAGGCTAGGGGTTATTACTTGGGATTAGTTCTTTCTTGTTCAGGGCTTTTAGGGTTTGCTTTTGTTAGCCAAAACGGGTGGGGGGGGTTCGGATTTGGGGATTAGTTCTCTTTTGTTTCGGGCTTGTAGGATTTGCTTTGTGGGGCCAGAAGGGGAGGGGCTACAGTAGGGGTTAGCGAGTGGTTCTTTCTTCTTTCGGGCGCTTGGCATTTCATCTTTTGACGTTTGGGGTTTACGGCCTTGGGGCTGCAAGGTTTGCGGGTTTAGGTTTCAGGGTTTCGGCAGAGACGAGGTCAAGGCCGAACATCGTTACTCACTGTGCCCCTCAATTACTAGGCTGAGTTGCTAAACATCCCCGAGATGCACCCCCAACTTTGTTCCTGCCTTGTCCCCAAGCCCAACAGGTTTGACTGTCCTAAAAGCTACATTTCTTTTGGCACGGGAGGTTCAGAGTGTGGTGCATGGGACATACTTATAGGGTTTAAGATTGCCGGCCCCCTGTAAGCCCAAGGCCTAGACCCTGATACCTTAGAAGGGACCCCCACCCTGTAATAGTGGTATACTAGGAATGTAGTAGGGCCCTAATATAATCCTTTTGTCACTATTACAGGGTGGGGGCAGCTTCTAACTGATACCTCAACCCTAGACCCGCCAACCCTAAACCCCACACCCTAAGGACTTCAACCGAAGCCTTGAGCTCAGGAGTTGATCGGTTTGGGGCTTTGGGGTTGAGAGTTGTCTGAGGCTTTGGCCTTGGAGCCTCTTTGTTACATCCCCGAACTACAGAAAGTTGGAACACGACAGACAGTAGGATTGTTGTGGGCAGAGCCATAAACCCTGAAGTGCCAGATTCCCCACGCAAGCTTCGATTGAAGGGCATCGGATAGGCGGGCTCCGAGTCTCTGGCAGTTGCAGTAATCAGGTTCGCTCACGCTCCAATTCCTGAAACAGAAAGCTAATACCGTTAAGCCATCATATATCTTTGTGTTATAAGAAGCCCCCCGAGATTAGGCAGTTCATATCTGAAGCATATCGCGAGGCGAGCTGCCTGTATCATTGAGCCAGCTGCAGCAGCTTCGCAGCTTGCCGGGCTAAGGCTAAGGTTTTCGGGCTTAGCTTGTTGCTATAGCAGCCTTAAAATTAGAATAGGGTTTTGGGCTCCTTTAAGGAACTCTAAGAATACTGTTGGTAATTATTTAGGCTTCTACAGTAGCGGAGTTCAGGGCTTTTAGGCTCCAGGGATAGTCTTGGGGATCTTTGCAGCTGTTATAAGTTATAACCAGGGTTCCGCTCGTAGAGGCTATAGCTACCGGCCTAGCGTAAAATCAGAGTTCGGGCTGACTTGCGCAAATTGGGGGGGATGTTTTGTGCACCATTTTACCCCACCATGTGGACCTGTTTGGATACTCCAGCCGTTTGAAGTGAGTAGGCTGGCTAAGGCATAAACTCTCACCAGCCCTGTGGCAAGGTTCACCAGATTGGAATGATCCCCGAACGGACAGCGATTACAACACCACATCTGTTCTTTCGGTAAACCGACTGTTTCACTTTGACTTGATGGAATGCTTAGTGGCCTAGTGTTGGGGGTGTTCAATTCTGCAGGAAAACGTCGAAGCCCATGTTCTGTTATATTACGCACCACTTGGAAATAATGGACCGCGACCAAGATTCTGGCCGAGAGTTTGAGCCGTGACTGCGAATGTTCGCAAGCACACTGTGCTGGCCAGGGGCAATATATAACGTCGTTAGCACTCAAGAGAACAGAGGTCCTGCAATTGCTCCGACCTCGAAAAGCAGTTCTATATAATCCATGAGGTTGATGAGATCTTGTGATGCATCTCGGAGCTTCGGTAGCCGGGGATTTTTTGGAAGCGCCCACGCCCTATGAATTCTTGAGTCCTAAGCTGCCAACCGAAAAATCGATAGCTCTGAGAAGCTTTGATCCATGCCCTAAACCGTTAAGCCTAAACCCTATTGAACCCTAAACCCCTCTTCCTAATTCCTGAAGTCCTCGGCCCGCCGAGGATATCTGAATCTGGAAAACAACCAGCTGAGCCTTGCTGAAGAGTCGTAGATGCCAAGCCTAGGTTCTGGTCAAGGAGCTTACCCTACGAAGTTGACTTGCCATGTAAGGGTTCTATAGCGGGGTCAGGGTTTAGGTTAAGCTACCATAGTTTGGGTTTCACCTAAGGGTTCTATAAGGGGTTCAGGGTCAAGGATTTTAAGGTACCCAAGTAGGGATCCACAGCACATAGTCGGGGTTGGCTTACTACGGTAACTCACCTAGAACTCCTTAACAAGAACCCAGAAACCCCGGACCCCAAGACCCGAGACACTAGCAGTGCTTGAGTTTCGGGAATGTTTCGGGGGCTTGGGCTGCACTCCATAAAGCCCCTAGTTACCTAGAGGCTCCACAGTAGTTCCTTTTGGGGGTTCGTATAGAATCCTATAAGGTAATCCCGAAAAGGAACTACTTTGGAGCCTTTGGGTATACCACAACTTCTAAAACCCCAAAACAACACTGCCGAAAGAAGGTAAATCTCATGCTTCAAAGGCCTGCAGAATTAGTAATAGATATTAGTAGTCGTAAGTTGAATTGTGATTTAGAGGGACTCTCCTAGGGGGATGGCAAATGGAGTTTGCTACTCAGGGATTTTGATGAAGATACATGGATTGGAGCCAGTCTTCGATCTTTTTTGCCCCGCTGCAACTTCACATGGCCTCACCAGCACTCAGTAGCACTCAGTAGCGGTCACGAGCGCTCCCTTTCACCAGTCCCTACTGGTGCTCACCAGCGCTTGGAAGGCGTTGCTAAGCTGTACTAGTGCTCACTAGCGCTCCCTGCCTAGGTGGGCCCTGTAGTCCTTACCAGACCTTAGCCGGGCTTTGCAATCCTCACGAAACCAAACTACTAAGGCTTGTTAGGCTCTACTAAGCCTTGCCAGCGCTTGCCGATGCTTGGCAAGCGTTGCTATCCGACCATCGCGTTCCACTTTCAAACTCTGATTTCCATCCTCCCTTAGTTGGGTCCCCCCCAAAAGTTGGAAACCCAATAGCCTCAATCCTTAAGAGTACTGTATAAGGAATCCCAGCACTATTTGGCCTTAATCCGGTTTCCAACTTTATTGAGTTTACTGTAAATCATAGTTCGCAAGTGGGGGTCCCCATAGTGTGTCATGGGGTTCCCTATTGCTGAGCCCTCCCGGAATTAAGGAGTGGTGATCTCCCGTCGAAGTGGAAGGCACCACGGTGCGTCTTGCCGGCAGCTGGTCTGTCGCGAGTTGGAATGTGGAGCTCTAGGGTTCATGTATCAGCCTGGGTAATTACTAGCATAAGTCCTGAGGGCTCCTTGTTGTAGTTCCACTACAATATACCCCAAAACCCGCTTCGGACTTCTAGCTTAAACAGTTTTGTGGTTTAGGGATTCAGTGCAAGGGCAGTGCAAGGGAGTTCGGGAGCTGGAGTAGGGATCAAAACTGTAGGTATTGGAGGCTCAAGAAGCGATGTTGGGGTTAGGCTTTCAGGGCTAAGGGCTCAAGGGGCTTAGCTTAGGGATATGAGGTAACGTGTTTCGTTTTTAAACTTTAATTCCATGGATCCAGCGCACAGTCGGCAGTTCTTCACGGCCTTGGGCTTCCGCTTGCGTAAACATGAGTACGGCTCCCTGCTGACGTTCAGGGGTTTGGGGCGTCAGGGTTTGTGGTTTCTCTTTTAGGATTTCCGGTATTAGAGTGTGGTCTTCCATGAACCCCAAATTGCAGATTCTACGTCGTAGTCGTACTCCACCTGCCGGACATCACTTGAAAAGAACCCGAAGCCCTGAATGCGAAATTCAAAACGCCACGCCGAAACCCCAAACCAAAACTCCAAACTCTGACGAAGCCCTAACCCGCCGCCGTTGCAGAACCCTAAAACTCTAGACTCTAAACCCCAGGATCAAGCAGCCAAGACCCCTTGAAGGAACCCTGAAAGAAAGGGTCTTTTCAGGGATCCTTTAGAGAAAAACCAAAAACTGAGGCACCAATCTCCAGAGCCTAAGCCTCTCCATGAACTGGCTCACGGGAAAGCTACAGGAGTGACAGAGGGCTTGAGGTCCAGGGCTCAGGGCTTAAGTTAACTAGAGATTGTTAGGGCTTAGGTTGTAGGAGTGTGGTCAGTTTAGAGCTTGGCCTTTTCGTTATGGGAGTCGAACCGGGTTTTCGGCCTTCCGGAGTTGCGCCGCTGCGGCTCTTCAGTGAAGCGGCTGTAGGGTTTGAGAGTTTAGGGGTTTAGGGTTTAGGGGTTTAGGGTTTTAGCATTGGGCTAGCGTGGGTCCAGGGGTCATGCTTTGTGCTTGGGGGTGTGCGACAAAGAGCCGGCCAGGCTTGGCAGTGGCATGTCTGAGCTTTGAAGGCTGCCAGACAGCCCACTCCGTTTGTGAGAACCATGGGTTTCAAGACAGAGGGGCCCGGTATGTTGCCTTATTGGCTTCAGTGCTCTTAGGAAGTGTTATTCTGATTGTTTCTATAATGCAGCTCCATGGAATTCTTTAAAAGATAATGTCCCATTACGGTTCTAAGGGCGCTTGATTAGGCTTGTGTTCAGGTTTCAGCAGCCCCGGGAAGATCGAAAGATAAGGCTTGTCAGATACTCTTCCCCATCAAGCCCTAGAGGGCTCACAGTTTTCAGGCTTTCGGGGTTTAGGGTTGGGATTTCAGGGTTTCAGGGTTTACTAAGATTCAAGCCCCAGCCCTAACCCTAAACTCCTAAACCCTATTCCGCTAACCCAGAGGATTTCTCGGTGGGGCTCTTGCCTGAGCTGGAGATACTTGAGCTGGCTCGCAACTCTCTGACGGGTGGCCCGGACAGAAAAGCTCCATGCGGGTTTGGATTTAGGGTTCAAGGTTGAGCTTTCAGATTCAGGTGTTTAGGGTGCATATTGCTTAACGATTAGCAAGTTCAGGGTTTAAGGGTGTTTTGGCTTTAGGCTACATTTTGTGTTGGTTCAGTGTGAGGGGAGTGAGGGTGCATAAGGCTTAGTATTTAGGGGTTAGTAAGCAGAGCTTCGCTGGTTGACACTGAGACCAGCTTCAAAGGGGCTGAGGGGTTTCAGGGTGATCAGGATGTCGGGTGCACAGGATTTAAGGTTTCGTGTTTTGGTTTTCAGGACGTTATTCCAAGAGGCCGAGACAATGATCCCCTGGTGACTAGAGCCATGATCAGCAAACAAGTTTGGAGCAGCAATGGATCAGAACTGTACTGCAGAAGTTGGCTGCTGAATTGATATAGATGTACCTTGTTGCGATTAAGACCCTAAACTTTAAACCCTAAACCCAAAAACCTGTGATATAGGTTTACCTTGTTGATTCAAACCCTAAACTTTAAACCCAAAACCCGCAGACATCAAAAAGGAGCTTTAAAAAGAAACTAAAACCCAAAAACCATTCTTTGTGCTGGCTCCGTGTAGAATCGCCTCCCAGGTTCCCTTCCAGGAGACCTCGGCAAGTTGTCTCGCCTCCGGGTTTTGGATGTGAGGCAGGAGCTCGAGGGATGTGTGGGAGTTTCCGAAAATTAGGGGGGGCCTTAGGGTTCCTTTGAAGGGATCCTTTAAAGGGTTCCTATAAGGGGTCTGTAAGGTTTAGGGTTTAGGGAGTTTCCGAAAATTAGGGGTGCCATAGTTTGGGGTCTTTGTAATAAGGATACTACTATTTAGGGTACTATATTAGGGCCCCCTATTTCCGGAAACTCCCATGTAGAAAACTCAGGCTTAGGGGCTTGCTCCAGGGCTTATACGGTCTAGGGGCTTACAGGTTATCTTCTGAGATTTGACATTTATCCTACTGGTTGGTGCTTTTGCCGAAAACAGGTTTGGTTGCCATCTGGCTGAAGAATATCCCGGCTATATTGTTCGACTTACAACCCGACCGCCATCTCAGTTTTGCAGAGGCGCTGTTTGGAGTTTCAGGCTCATCTGGATTCTGCAATGTACCCAAGGAAATTGAGTTGTTGGGTGTGGGGTTTGCATCTGGGGAATGGCAGGGTTGAGTGTCACTTCAGCCTGGGTGCTGATCAAACATGACGACCATTTGTGCCCCATGGTTGCCCTCCTACGCAAAACTCACTAGGAGCCATCAAGCCTTGCGCACTGATGCCCTGCACGCCCTACTCAACCCCTGAACAACTTTGCATCTTACTGTGTGTGAGGAGTTTCGGGCTTCGGGTTTGGTGGGTTGGTGGGTTTCGATTCAAGGATATGCCTTGTTGTTGGCTCAGGGTTGAAAGCACACCTATGGGACTGGGATTTCAGGTTGTCGAGTGTATGGGCTAACAGTGCTCTCGAAACTCTAAACCCACATGAAACCCAAAGTTGCAAAATCTCTCCCCTGCCACGCCGCAAAACTTAACAAGTCCTCGAAACGAAATCACACCATGACTGCTTAGTAGGACGCCTTTAGGCATGTGGCACGTTGACCTGAAGCCGTAGCTTTTTCGGAGTGTGGGGGCTCAGAGCTTCGGTTTACGGGCTTAGGGTTACGGGCTTAACCAGGATTTATTTCGGTTTAGGGTTTAGGGTTTAGGGTTGAGGGTTTAGGGTTGAGGGTTTAGGGTTTAGGGTTGAGGGTCAAGGGCTTCGGGTCAAGTCTTTAGGGTTTTGTTGTTGGGGCTCAGGGTTTAGGGCTGGTTCCGAACGCGCAGGGGGAATGCCCAGCTCGGGGGCGAGATTCCTGAATCCCTGGGACAGGCAAAAAGCCGCTTGGAATGATTTCTGTTCACGTTTAGGGGCTTCTGGGTTTTAAGGGCTTTCCTGGCCATCAGACAGAGCCATAGCAACGCTTTTTGCCACAACTCTTCCGAGATGTTTCTGCAGGCAAGAGTCTAACTAGTAAGGCTGCAAAGCTATACCATTGCTGCAACCTTCCACCCTAAGCTGAGACAGCCTTCAGCCCATGAACCAAACCTCCAGCCCTAAACACACCTAGACGACTCCATGGAACCCCCGAAAACTAAACCTATGAGACTCGTAGAAGCCTTCCTCGTTTAAGCATTTTTCTGCTCTCGGGGAACAGAGACTCTGCTAAGGCTTGGTCCAGCTCGACGTGTCCAACGGCAAATTTCGCGGCTCCATGACCTCGAAGTGTGGGGAGGGGAGTTTAAGTTTAGGGCTTCAGGGTTTTCGGAGCGGGAGTGGAAGTGCGATGCTCAGGGGTTGATTTGTCCTTTTCTGTGAGGGCGAGGGGTCGCAAGCTCTTTCTGTTTAAAAGTAGCCATGAGACTTGGATTAAGCCTCTCCCCAAAAGCCCGACACCCCTAAACTTCGTTGAGCTTCACTTCTCCAGGCTCCATGCCGGCAACCCTGGCTAACCTAACGAAGCTGCTGCCTGGCAGCATTCGGTTTGAGGTTTCCGGGCTTAGGGTTTTAGGTTTAGGGTTCAGGGCTTCTGAGTTGAGTCCGAGGCCCTGTCTACCCCGTCGGAATTCTTAGCAATAGTATGCCCTGGTGCGCCCTGGTTGAGAGCGTTGAGCTTATTGCGGTCATGTTCGGTCCTCAGGCAAGCGGATTTAAACGTAGACTTCAGCCTGCTGGTTTGAGTTAGTATCGGGTTGTTTCCGCTCGTTAGTGCAGGAGGCACTCAAAGGCCCAGGATTCATGACAACAACTCCCGACTGTCACTGCAGCCACGCCCTTCATGGACATGTAGCTATTCCCCAAACCCCACCTTTACCCGGAAGAACCTACTTGTTTGGAAATGATAATAAGAAACCCTTAAGAGGTAGGTTAGTTGGGGTTCAGTAAACCGTAAGCCCTGAACCCTAAGCCCTAAACCGTAAACTCAAGCCCTAAACCCGAAGCCCAAAGCCCTAAGCCCAAAGCCCTAAACCCCAAACCCCAATCAAGGCAGGAACTTGCGATCGACGGCAACAGATTCCAGGACATCTTTTCGGGGGGCCGGGAGTGGGGCAGGGAACCCTCGTGTCCTACTTAGAGGATCATGGGACTTAGTAAGTAGGGTTCCTTTATGGGTACTATAAGGGTTTAGGGTTTAGGGTCTACTTACAGGATCATGGGACTTAGTAAGTAGGGTTATAAGTAAGGTATAACTATAGTTACATCTATCTGTAACCCTACTGATTCAGTCCCATGATCCTCCAAGTAGTGCCCTAATGCTGAAGCCTGACGTCGTGGTAGTAACGCTTTTCATCTCATAGTTCTTCAGGGTGAATTACGATATACCCCAACACTTCATTCGAAGATGTTCTACGTATTCCCTCGTCCAGAGTTTGGCTTGTGCAGAACCTCAGAAACGCCACCGAGTTTGTCACTCTGTGCCCCGGCACCTCGTTCTTCACATTCAGCTGCACATCGTGTTGGCCGGGGTACTGTAGGAGAACTAAAAACCTCCGGGTTAATCTAAGTTTACTGTGTAGGGTCACCTCGAGTCTCCAACTTGAGTTGTCAACTGTCAAGGTATGTCTTTGCATAACAAAATCATACAAACTTCTAGACCAGCATCGCAAGCCATGGACAACAGAGCGCCACAGTGCCAAACACCTTTAACGAGGAGTTGTCGCTTTTTAATGGGCTTTGTATGGGTTCTAGAGAGTCTTCATTCATGGTAACCCAAGCAGTTTATTGAGGGAGTCTGGTAAAGTTTTACAGCCAAGTGTTCAATTTCGACCACGCCCTGAACTCTAACTGCCCGAAGCTCTTCACCCCGAAGCCTCAATCCAAACATCCCTACCACCCTACGCGTCCTCAACCCTGACACATCAATTGAAAACCCTAAACCTTAGCTCCAGGTCCAAGAATCAGAACCTGGCAACCCTGCAGAGGCGTTCGAGCAAGTTTTAAGACGTAGATGAAGTTCCACCCAACATCAATAACATCTTCTATTGGAGTAGAGGATTCAGGGCTTAGGTAGGCCTTTAGGGCCTAAACCCTTATAAACGCTATAATCCCTAAACCACCCTGTCACAAAGGACTTCTCTTCGGCCTTATTGGAGCTCACGCGGCTGTGGAGCTGCGGAGCTGTTTTGGCCCATACCCAGCTTGGGGTGTACTTGGAGGATCATGGGACGTAGCGCGCAGGGATTAGGAGTATACTTTAATTGGGGAAGTTATTATAAGTAGATATCACTATAGTTACCGTCCTTATATAATTACCTTAAAATCCTATTTGCTAAGTCCCATGATCCTCCAAGTAGGGTTTAGAAAATTTGCAATTCAGGGGTAACTCAGGGTTGCAAGGCCGGGTAGAACAGATTGGTCGAAACGCAGATGTCCTCCTGAAAACTTAAAGGAACCCTTACAGAATCAGAAGCTGCTGCGCTCCCGATCGGGCTTTTTGTTTGTTTGTGTGGTGTGTGTGTGTGTTATAGGGTTTAGGGTTTACAGAAATTGTTAAGGGTTTGGATGCCCTAAAGTTTTGACCGAAACGTTTTGACCAAAAGTTTTAACAGGGCTGCCTGTTTTAACTTGTTTTTTGGGGTTGATGAGCCCCGGTAGTTTGCCTCGTAAACATAGGACGGTCAACTTCTTTTTCAACAGGCGCTCTTAGGGCCAGGGGTCGAGGCCCGGGGAGTTTTCCCGACTGGAACTTGATTTGGTCGGTCAGTGGTGGGTGGCGGCGCCGTTGGGGAAGCTCTGAGGGAGGGAGTTTTGTGACTGGACCTGATCTCGAATGTTTGGCCGGGCTGGGCTGGTTGGGCTGGCTGGGCGGGCGGGATTTGGGCTGGGGTTTTGGCAGGCTAAGCTGGGAGGGTGTTCGGCGTGAAATTGACGGTTTAGGGGGTTCAACGCAAGCAACGACAAGCAATTTCTGTTTATTTTCTTCTTCAGGGTTTAGGGCTTAGGGTTGTTGGGGAGGGTACAGTAGCCACTCAGGATTTCGTGTGGGCTCGAAGGACGAGCAGGCTGTGGGATGGGGCGGGCTTTTGCAGAGACCCAGCAACATGCTCCTGTACGGGCTGTATAAGGTTCTGTTAAGCTAAATTATGTGGTTGAGGGTTTAAGGTTTAGGGGTTTTCAGGCTTTGCTTTGAAGGTCTGTTTTTCTGGTTCAAGATTTATGGTGCTGGGCCACGGTGCTGGGTGGCCATCTGAGGGCTTAGAGGTTTGGATGATTTTCGGGGCAAGCAGTTGCTTCATAGCTAATATAAGATACTTCGGAAGAAGAAGTGTATTCTTCGTAGTTGAGGGTTTGTGGTTCGCTCACGATAGTACTCACCAATCGTGAGCCTACAGCAAGCGCTGACTTGCCTTAAGAACGCCACACAAGGCGTTCTGAAGGCTAAAACTAGAATCTACTAGGATGCCCAGTAGTACCCTTATTCCCTTTTTGTAGTCCTAGGTTCCTTATAAAGTTACCCAATACCAAAAACGAGAGGCCTTTTTATTCTTAGGTTACTGGGTATCCTAGTCTAGAAGCCAAGAAAGCTAATCCTTCGTGACGACAGAGGCCGCAGCAGAAGTGCCGCAAAGCAGCGCAAGGATGATTCCGCATTCCGTTGGCCGCTTGTGTATCAAAAGTTCAAGCGCACTGCTATTTTGGGGTTATAGGACCAGGGTTTCTTAATCAGATTATATAATCCCCAACAGTAGTCCCACATATCCATTCCCACATTCCCTACTAAGCACCAGACAGTTTAGGGTTCAGGGCGATCGGGTTTCGCACATTCACTACCTTAACCCGGAATAACATACCTTTTTAAGGACTGCTATCAGGAAATCATAAAGAGGAACCCTAAAAAGGTAGGTTATTCAGGGTTAACGTGCACTCGCGCTAGGCGAACTGCGCCCCGGTGGAGGAGGATCCTTGCAGCCTCTGGAAGAGGCACCCTGTTGAGGGTTTCATTTTTTAAAAGTATACACATATTTTTTGTTGACTAGTTCATGATATATATATATATATATATATATATATATGATCCCGGTTCGGCCGGCCCCCCCCCCCTTCCCCCCCCAATGGTTCCTCCTCCCCCTCCTGTGGTGTGGTGTGGTTGTGGGTTGCTTCCCCCTCCCTGTGGTGTGGTGTGGTTCGGGAGTGGTATGCTTAGGCTGGTTACCCCACTCGCCCCTGTGGTGTGGTGTGGTTTGGGTTTCCTGCGTGGGTCTGCTGTGGTGTGGTGTGCTCCCTGTGGTGTGGTGTGGTTCGGTGGGTCTGCTTAGGTTGGTTACCCGACTCCCCCCTGTGGTGTGGTGCGGTTTGGGTTTCCTGCGTGGGTCTGCTTGGCGTGTGAACCCTCGTGTGGACGCACAGATTCGGCTTGGGGAGCGTGGGGGGGGGGGGGGGGGATACCATTGGGGGGGGGGGGTCGGTGAACCGAGAACCGGGATCATATATGTGTGTGTGTGTGTGTGTGTGTGTGTGTGTGTGTGTTTATATTGTCATACACAAGGTTTGGGGTTTCGGGGTTTAGGGTTCAAAGTTGGGGGCGATTTCGGGTGTAAGGATGGGGCTGAGGGTTGAGGGTTTGTTGGTGGGATTTAGGGTGGGATTTAGGGTGTGCCGTCCTGAGAATGGAAGATCGTTCGAGGTTCTATCGCTGAGGGCGTTTGCAACGGCTGAAACGAATTGCGGTTAAGGTCTGAGGATGTTGGGGTGCAGGGGTCTTGCAAAAACGGAAAATTTGGGTTTGCAAGCTTCGACCTTCGGCACATTGGTTTTGGAGGTGGGCTCGGGAATTGATGGTTGAATCGTTGGGTGCAGGGCTTGTAGAAGTTGGAGTGGTTTATTTGTGCTGTTGCAGAGGGTACCAATATTAGTGAGACTTTTCTCCCCCACAGCAAGGGGCGGCATCATGATCACATAAACCTCCCCTAATCTCCAAAACCCTAGACCCTTAAACCCAACCGAAAGCAGGTCAGACCGCTATAAGCTGGAGCTTTTCCTGGAGGCACTCTGGACGGAGCCTTGGACGCAGCCAGATCCAGATCCCCAGGATCACGACAGCAGAGCCCAGTGTTCGAGGGTTTGCGGGAGCTTGGGACTTTGAGTATGTTGGGATGCGGTCTTGCTGGGTCTGAAAACCCTCTATTCCCTAAGCTTGATAAACCCTACACTGAGCCTGTTTTGTTTGCGGATTTGTTGTCGTTTGTGTGGTCTTGTGCTTGCCTCAAATCATCAGCTTTGTAAGGTGATGTTTGCTTTTTGGGGCCATGGCTTCGAGGGTTGATGGTGGGTTCCACTGGTGGCCTCCTACAAACTGCACGTCTGCTTTCAGGGGTCTATTGGGCCATCCTAGCTGCGGCTTGAGTCATTGCGGTTTAGGTTTGAGTCTCGCGTTCAGGCTATAGGGTCGATGTCGAGATGATTTTCAGCATGTAAGGAGGTAGCAGATCACAGAGATCCGAACCAATCACTGTAAGCGTCCCTGAAATCCCCAAAACCCGAGATTTCGTCTCAAGTTTATGAAATCCTGGAAGATGGAAGCATTGAATCGTAAGCCTTCCGTTTCGGTAGTGAACTCTGGCGCTCACCCAAAACCTAAACTCTCACCCCGATACTTCCTTCCGTGGGCTCCTGAAATCGCTCTAGACACCCTAACCCCTTCACCTGAAGTTTGAACCTATGCTGAAAGCAGTAAAGTTCAGAAGGTTGAGCACAGGGTTTGGAATATCTACATAAGAGCTTTGTCCCCTGTGTACATAGAATGTAAGAATCTACCCCCAAACCATTATTCTATCCGGGCCTCGCCTCCTCAACCCTACTTACTACGCGCAAACCCGACACCACTATAAATGCTAAGCTGCTAAGCCCTTGAACCCTTACGTCCTACACCCCCAAGCCGCTTTGACCAGGGACGCTACTGGAAAACACATTCCTACAGTCCGTCGCAGCCGTTTTGTACGTGGCGCCTCTGCTGACATTGAGACTTAGGCTCGGGGTCCTCCCTATAGGGGTCCGGAGCCCTTGATTGCGGGTTTAATTTTAGGAGTTTAGGGTGTAGGGTTCAGGTTTTAGGGGGGGTTTAGGGTTTAGGGAGGATCTTGGGGATTTCGTCCCCGAGCCTGAGAATGTCGAGCTGTTGGGGCTTGGGGTCTCACGGGCCCCAGCGTTTTCTTGGCCAGTCACGGCTGCGTGTCCGTTTGGGATCTTCATCGAAGAAGGGATCCACAAAACACGGGAACGTCATAATAATAAGACTCCCACAACAACGGCAGAAAACAAGCCAACAAAAAATCAGGCAAGCTTTGAAGTTTCGTTTATCCTGTAATGAGGCATGGGACTTGGGCTTCGAGAGAGGGTTGAAGGGATATGGCGGGGTTGAAGGACTACACTAAACTCTGTAATCAAGGCCTTGGTATTAAATTTTCGGGGGGTTAAGGGGCCCGAACCATGGATGCCTAAAGCAGTATTTGCTTTATTTGTGTCAAGACGTCGTGGGCTTGTCGGGATTAGGTTCAGAGAGAGTTCTTTCCCTGAGCAACTCCTAACGCCCAAGCCACCTGACAGAGTCCTTCAGGTGGAACCCTATGAAAGTTTTCAGAGGCTCTGTTACGTAAGCCAACATTTTTTTCTCAGAGGATGGCCTATGTCCTAAACCCTACCTTGACCTACCATAACCTACTTATGCGTAGGGTCCTATTCTCAATCATAACATAGAACTGATAAGAACCCTGCAACACTACGTTTTGGTGGGTTGAGGCATGTTGTAGTGAGATGTCATCAGGACCGGGATCATCGGATATGATTCTTCATGATTCCGACTGTAGGGAACACAGAAGGGTATCCATGCCACAGATACCAGTCCTTATGGCTCCTGGCTATACAGTATAATGTATCCTAATCCCTAAACCCTAAACCTTAATAATTTCTCAGGCAGGCCCTCTTCTAATGATTCAGGCCCGTTCTTTCGGAGCTTGCGCCTATGGGTACTTTAAAGTCAGGAAGGATACTGCAGCTTACGGCCCATACTCGTGCACCAGTGGTAAGTAAACCGCCGACCATCGAAGAATCGATTTTCCCGAAGCTTTAAAATTGAAGGTCAGTAACTAACAGCAACATCAGGTCGTCCGTATACACCCTACGGCCTGAACTCCAAAGCTTCCATGCTCCCCCCTACAACAGGTCCGGGGTTAGCTGTGAGCGCATCGGTGGGGCTTGGAGAGCTGCCTGGAAGCGATGACGGGCTTAGGTTTCAGAGCTTTGGGTTTTCAGATACTCGTAAAGCTGGCTGCAAACAAAGGGGAGTGGCGTTACCCATAGGCTCCATGGTATTTCCTTTTGGGGGTTACCTTATAGGATTCTAAATATGAACCCCAAAAAGGAACTACTATGGAGCCTCTAGGTACACAATAGTTGATAGGTGTTCGTGCGTCTTGCTTTCCCTACTGAAGGACCTCGTGACACCCTAGTGTACATGAGCATCTGTGTCTAGCGGGTTTATCTCAGTTCTTGTGACTTCATGGGTACTTCCGAGTCTTGCAGCCCTGCTGCAGAAGTCCTACGCAACTGTTGGGAGTTATGCAGGATGTTCGTTGAGAAAGTTGAAAGAGTCTTCAAAATTGGTTTGGGCGACCACTGCCAAAATTTTGTTTCCGTTTACACGATACCGTACAAGCTACCTGCTGTACCTTCAACCCTGAAGCCCCGCTCAGAAACCGCTCTCAGAAACCCCTAATTTTAGTTTGGCAAGCCAGCCGGTTCAGTGCTTCTGTTAAGACTGATAGAGAGACTTACCTAATCGCTCCCAGAATTGCCTAGTCTATGTTTGCTGAGAAGAAGCGAGGTCACCTCTCTGACTGTGGAGGACCGGTCGGCACATTCCTAGTGTGTGGAGCCCGATGCACATGGGCTGTCACAGAATAGCGTGGTCCCCGAATATCACGACATCAGCTGAGCTGCGAGTCGTGAGAATGAGCATGGCATCACACACACACACACACACACAGAGACCTCAGCACGGCTGCCGGCCGTGCTGGCCGACATTTGCTACAGTTATTATTATCATTATTATGGTTGTTATTATTGTTATTATCAGAGTTGCTATTATCGATATTATTGCTGCAATTATTGTTGGTATGATGATGATGATTATTGTTATTATTATTATTTTTATTGTTATTATTTAAAAATATTATTATTAAGCAATGAATCGGCAATGAGTGAAACATCAATGTCGCCTTCGGGGGCCCAGGGTAGTTGCAGCGCCCTGGCTGTGCGAAAGGATCCATTCCTTTCTGGGCGTGTCGACCCCGTGATCCTAGACTTGGAGCACCTGAAGGACTAGGGATATTTTATATTTTCCTTTTCAAACTTCAACACCCCGGGATTGTTGGATTAAGTTTTGTCCTTCTTCAAAAACCTCGTACTACTTTACAAGCTGAAGGCCTTTCGGAGCCTCCCTTTTCCTGGAATCTCCACCGTTTGACCGCAACGTAAAATGCAGTTGCTGTAGGTTTAGGGTTTAGGGCTTTGGGGTTTATGGTTTAGGGGGTTTGCAGATTCCCATTTTCAAACCATAAAGTGCGAGGCTCAACTCCCGAAGCAGGTAGGGGAGGCCTTCCTTACCATGGTAGCTCATGGTTCAGAATCCTACGCTCCTCCCGAAATCCGAAGCCGTAAATCCTAGACAGAAGGGTAAATCCTAGAACCCTAAGCCACAAACATGAACCCTAAAAGCCCTAAACCTTAGCCCTCAACCACAAACATGAACCCTCAACCACAGACATGAACTCTGTGAGCCCTAAACCTTCACCCTCAACCACCAACATGGAACCCTGACCCACAGACATGAACCTCTACACAACCCGAGGAGCTCCGACTCAGATCCCCCCACCTCTCAGGTTCCTCGGTCATCCGGGGAGTACCTGGAGGGTTTAGGGTTCAGGGTTTAAGGGTTTAGGGTATAGGGTTTAAGATCTAGGGGTGAGGGCGTGGGGTTTAGGGTGTATATAGTTAGTACAGAGTTATGAAGCATCATAGCCGCATTTAGGATCCATGTCTAGTGCACTTATATCCCTTGTCATACTCATTATAGATTTACTAGTTCCCCGACCCTCCAAATAAACAAGCATGTCTAGAAGATAGGTAGCTTACAGGTACCTTCCTCCTCAGGTGAGTACGTCAGATAAGCTCATACGAAAACACTCAGCTTAGAGCATCTGTATATACTAAGTATACAGGTATCTATGTGTATATGTATACGGACAGAAGTACGTCCACGCATGCGAAACATACGTACATGTGTACACAAGCTTGGGATATGGCGGGTTTCAGCTGCTGCATGCGGTTCCATTCTGCATAGTTGTATATAAGGTGTGTGTGTGTGTGTGTGTGTTTGAAGATGACGTTCGGTGTCTGCAGTACTGGTTAGGTCTCCAGAGCTGGAACGGCTGAACTGAAGTTGGTTTTACACACCTAGGTAGTAATGTACTTGGTAATGCAAAATCCCAATTGAGAAACGTCGCTTCCTTCCGAGTTATTGATTTCTTTTGCTTTACGGCATACCCCCCCCCCCCCCACCCACCCTCTCCCCCTATGTAAGCCCTAAACCCCAAACCCCATATGTTCTCGAGGAACAAGGTGCTGCGGCACACATTTGGGGGCTCCCACACGCCTCTGACTGTCTGCCACAGCAAACTTTTAAATCATGGAGAGCCTTGAAAAATGAAGTACACCTTCAATCATAGAAGGCTTTAAAACAAGGGCGTACACCATTGGTTGAAGGTATGATTCGGTATAAAGTCGTTTTGGGCCCTCAGGGTGTGCAAACGCCAGTATTACTCGAAAAGTCCCATGCTTGCAGACACAATGGCGACCACAACAGGCAAGAGTTTCCCTAATTACATGGAGCCTTCGCATTCCAACCAAGTTATAAGCATGCACCCCACCCCTACAGTGCAAGCTCAGGGGTGTAAGTACTTGGTGCGGAGTCAAATTATGTAAGTTGGAAGAGCTAGCGTACATGCTGCACGAAATGCCCAATGCAACACCGGCTTTTGTGCTTAGAGTTTAGCTTAGAGCACGTGCAAGTTAAATCAACCCCATGACATGAGTGAGCAAGGGGTAATTGCTTCTGGGTTTAGGAGTGCCTGTTTCTTATGATGTGGCTCATGGATGTATCATATGAGGCTGGGTTATGGGCTTGCAGGTTATTGTGCAGGAATGCTGCTGTTGGTTCGGAATCTCAACCCGGAAACTGTTTGCTGTTGACCTTGGCACTGAGGTTCGATGCCACCCGATCTGTCCCGGCTCAGGCCAGGCGGCATGTCTTGAGTTTGACCAGCTTTCTTCCGCCAGCCCACCTCGATAATTACCCCATCCCTTGATTCTTGGTCTGAAGTAGAGTTATTGAGTGAGCCAAAATCTGCCTCAACCCCAAACTCATAGCCATTCCTATCCCGAGACCCTGCCACTACTACCGCCTTTTGAAACTTTAAAATTCTTTAAGCTTGAATGCCAGACATTTGCAACTTCTCCATGCCCTAAACCCCTGAACCCCAAAACCTTAAACCCCACACAGGGTCATTTTCGGTTTAGGGTTCAGGGTACCCCAAATTGTAACCCCAAAAATAAAAGCCTAAACCCTAAAACCTATACCCTAAAACCTAGACACTAAACCCCTAGACCCTAAGCCCCTAGACTCTAGACCCCAAACCCCAAACACTAAACCCCTAGACCCTAAACCCTAAACCCCTCAACCCCTAAACCCCACGCCCCTACGCCCCTAAATCCAGTCCACTCTCCTCCGAAGCCTGAGCGCCTGAGCCTGGTTTCCCAAACCCCGGGAGGATCCAAAAAGTAGATCCCTTGATGGGAGTTCCTATACAGTACCCTGAGTAGTATAGGGCCCCCAAATTAGGGGATCTACTTTCTAGATTTTCTCGGGGGCCTGGGTTTGGAGTGGCCAGGCACCTGGAGGTCCTGGTCATCGAAGGAGGACCCGAGGGTGTTGGGAACTGGGCGTTTTGTTAGGCCCTGCTATTAGGGTTCAGGGTTCAGGGGTTTAGCGTTTAGGGGTTTAGGGACTAGGGTTTAGGGATTTAGGGGTTTAGGGACTAGGGTTTAGGGATTTAGGGGTTTAGGGACTAGGGTTTAGGGATTTAGGGGTTTAGGGACTAGGGTTTAGGGATTTAGGGGTTTAGGGACTAGGGTTTAGGGTTCAGGTGTTGAGGGTTTAGGGGCTTGGGGTTTTGGGCTTCGGTTTGGTTTTGAGACTTGGGGTTCAGGATTTCGGGTTTTGGGACTTAGGAATGAAGCCGGGGAGATGAGCTTGTTGCGCAGAGAGAGCCGTAAAGCTTCAAGAGCCCATGGTTACGATTTGGGAGCTTCCGAAAATTAGGGGGTACCATATTTTGGGATCCTTAAAATAAGGATCCTACTATTCAGGGTACTATACTAGTAATATAGTATCCTAAATAGTAGGATGAATATTATAAATCAGAGTCCCCTACCCCGTCCCTCTTGCACCAGATGTGGCAAACTCGCCTTGAAGCTCTACTTCAACGATCATGGGACTTAGTAAGTAGGGTTATAAGTAAGGTAACTGTAGTTATATCTACTTATAACCTTATTTAGGGTACTTATAACCCTACTTACTAAGTCCCATGATCCTCCAAGTAGCCCAAGCCCGAAACTTGGAATGGACAGACCCAGACCCCCTTTGGAGAATCCAAAAAGTAGATCCCTTAATGGGGGGTTCCTATAAAGTACCCTTAGTAGTAGAGGGCCCCAAATTAGATGATCTACTTTCTAGATTTTCTCGGGGGTTCTGGGGAGGCAGGATGGATGGCGACATTCCCAGCCTCGGCAGCCTCATGCAGCTGCGAGACTTGGTCTGCTTCGGAGGTTTTCGGGGGGAGGTTTGGGTTCAGGGTTCTGTTGGGCCTTAAACTTATAGAGGTTCTGTTGAGCCTTAATTCAACTTAAATGCCTCTTATAGAGGATCTATTGGGCCTTAGATTCAGAGTACCCGTTCTTGAGGACAATATATGGCCTCCATCACGGATATGTTGAATGGGGTCCTGGTTCAAGGCTTCGACTCCCATGAGAGCAAGCCACTGCTCGAAACTTAGGGTTCAGGGTTTAGGGTTTAGAGTCCAGTGGCAAAAGGGTTTAGAGTCATATGCAGATTTTGTTTCGGGTTTGGGGTTTAAGGTTTAGTACTTGGGTTTTGGGTATAGATACGTGGGAGCTATCCACAGCTCTCAGGTGTCTCTGATGATGCACAGCAAAAGGAGATGTTTAAGTTGGAGTTTCGGCTCTCTTATTTCTGATTTCTGGACCCTTGAAATACATGTCTTGTTATCATAGGGTCAATATTAGTGCCCCTCGCAGTCTGAAGCTCGCCAATGAAACTCTGAGAGCGACTGCATGCCCATGATAAATCGGCTTCCGAAAGCAGGCTTACCCTTAGCCGGCTGTGAATGATGGCTGGCATCCATCTCAAAGCCTTAACTCCTCAACATGTGCACGCTTTGCAAACTTGGCTGGCTGGCGGCTAAACAGGGCGGAAGTCCCGCTGGGTAAGATGGAGGCCTTAGTAATTAGAATAGGGTTTGGGGTCTATTCTACAATAATGAGGAACCCCAAGAATAGTATTGGTAATGATTTTGAACTCCTACATTGCACTATGTTACGCTCCAGCTGATGGTGCCTGGTGTTGGCCGAATGCAGAGCGACGAACACGACATCGTCCAGAAGTCGTCCAGAACATGACGGCCGTACATATTGATTTGCTGCAGCTGGGGGGGGTCTGGGCCTGTGGCATGGTCTGTTGTTGACCACTATGGGCTATTAGGCCTTAAGGGTACCTTAATCTACCCTTAAGAGGGTCCTAGGGATCTTTAGGGTCTAATAGCCCATAGTGGTGATGAACTCCGAATGTGGCAAGCTACCAGGCAACCACAACTGGGGCATGCTGCTGGACTGGTTCGCACCTACCATATTGGAACTCAACAACAATATGTAAACTGCAGCTGCGCAGAGTGATTGGCTGGAGGCTGGATTGCTCCGAAACCTCTAGAACCCTAAGGCTCTAAGGATTCACATTTTAAGGCTTTCGGGCCTAAAGACCATATTATATAAGCCTTTTGGGACACATTGAGCCTTAGGCGAACCATGTCCGAAGTCGGCACTCCTCAGGCCATGACCAAGAGGAACACCCCGAAGTCCTTGAATGCGCAGTTTGAAGAATGATGCTGAAACCCTACCGGGCCGAGGGTCTAGGTTGAAATTCTTCAAACCATATGGGTGGTCTGGGTGGTTGTCAAAATTATAGTCCCTTTTTCGGTCCTTCTTATAGTACGGCACCTAATATTTAGGGTACCCAAAAACGGACCTTAATTTTGACAACTACCCATGCCTCAAGCCCCAGCTTCAGCAAACTCCTAGACCCCCCGAACTGCCCGCGAACGAACGAACCTTCGGAGGCCGTGTTGCACCCCAGCCCTAACCACCCTCGTCGTAGAGTACTCTTAAGGGCTTCCTTTAAGGGGTCCGTAGGGGTTCTATAAGGGGCTCTTAGTAGCAGAGTAGGTAACCTTTAACCTTTTTGGTGTGGTATAATCCCTGTATAATCCCTATATAACCAGAAAGGTTAACCTTTAGTTCCCCATGATACCCGACAAGTAGGCCAGCAAACTAAGGCTTCTAAGCCTGAGCTTACCCCCACCTTTCAGGAAGCCCCTGAGGAGTCAAACCATGAGGCCCGAAGTTCTGAAACTAAACCCTAAACCCTAAACCCTAAACCCTAAAGCCCCAAAACCCGAACAAGAGGTTCAAAACCCTGAAGCTCCCAAAGCCTAAGACCCCCCCAGAAAACAGAGGCCCGAAGACCGACAGAGCCCTAGAGACCCAAAGCGATAACTTCAAGAAAGAGGATCCGTTGCCCTAAACCCCCTAAAGCCCTAAAACTCTGAAACTCGAGCCCGAAACTCCCACACCCTCCGAGGAGCCGCAGCTTTCGTCGGTGGCTTTGCTGGCATCTTCTTCCTCGACTCGCTGCCGGATGGAATCAGCGCCTCGCCTGCATTGGGGTGGTAAAGCCACAGGTGTGCTTTAAGGAACAGGGTTTAGGGTCTTGGGTTTACAAGGGTTAGGGAGGGAAGAGGCCTGAAATTGTGGGGGGGGATCCGCCTCATGATCGAAGGTCTATTCCTTCCAGGTTTTTTGGAGGCCCCGGGTCGAGGATTTTGTACGTAATTCAGCAGGGTTCTAAGAGGGTGTTGCAGGGTGTTGTTGAAGGGGGCCCTATGCCTGGAGGATCAGGGGATTTGTCAGTCGCTTATAAGCATAGTCTAGTCAGTCATCAGGACCATACTAAAGTTATTACCCCTAAACCTTAAACCCTAAACCCTAAACCCTAGTTATGTTGTACCCTGCTTGTGACTTTACGCAAAATTGACTTACCAGGCCCCGTGATCCTCGTAGTATCTGGGTGCTTAGGCTTTGGGATTTCCGGCTGTGCGGTTTCGGGCTTAGGTTTTGTCACATGGTTCTGCATAGTTTGCCCAGCTGGGGCCCTATACAACACTGCCCAAAAGTCCAGGCTGGCGTTCAAGGTATACTTGGACCACTGTAGGCTTTATGAATCCTTATACTCGTAACCCACAGGGCCCCGCGCTGCCTCTAGATCAGGGACATGGAGCAGTCTTCGCTATGAAAGTTTCGCCAAATATCGAACCCTGCTACAGAACGAGACATAGCAGGATCCTGGTTAGAAGTTCCCCCAAGCAAGGTATAATTATGTGTTTCACTAATCAATTAGTGACGGTAGATGGCTCTCCGGATGCCTAAATCGAGCCTAACACCCAAACCCTGAACTACAAACCCCAAACCCTGTGTACCCCAAACTCCAAACGTTCAACCCCAAACCCCATCAAGCCTTCAAGCCCTAAACCAACAACCCTACAAACCCTGTAAACCCTAAACCCTAATAGAATCACAAACGTGGATATGCCCTAAACCCGAAAGTTAGATGGCAGGGGAAGTCACGCTTCGAAGTTCCAACCTGCCGCCTGGAATTACTTTACCATGCAGTTTCGTTTTTGGGTTTGTGCTTAAGATTTCTAGGGCCCAGGAGTTAGGTTTTAAGGTTTCCGCTTTCTGTTTTGGGAGGCGCAGGGTCGGCTTTGTTACTGTTGGGTTCCTTGGCAGTTTCGGTTTGCAACTAAGCACTCGCATGAGCCTCAACACCATAAATCCTAGGGCATTCGGCGGATTCATGTAGGTGGCTTGGGGTTTAGGAGTTAGTGTTCATGGCAGAAACTTTCGGGTTCAGGGTTCACCCCTGACGTCCTCTGATCTTGTAGGGAATTGTATTGTGCAGTGACTTCCGTCGTACGTGACATCGGCAAACCCCTACCAGGCAGGTAAACACATGTGTGCTTTCGTGGCAAAGCCGTACTATACCGCTGCACGCCTGCATACTATTCTTTCAGCGAGAGCAGTACAAAGACCGACTCGAGAATATGCTTTGAACTGCGTGATGTGGCCCCATTGCAGCTCAAGGAATCTCATGCATTGGGCCAACATATGTCCTTGAGCCTGAAAAGACTCATTAAACTCTCTACATCCTAAATCGTAAGACTGAAGCCATTGACCCCTAAACTCCTTGAACCCTAACAACCCTAAATGCTGCTAGCTCCCGAACCGTGACAACGAGGAAGATCGTATTTGGGTCGTCGTGGGAGGGGCGACTTGGCCGCAACGGCTCTGAACGTGACACTCACCGGTCCGAAAAAGACAATTTCTTGGGGCTCCTTACTTAGAGGTTCAAGGGACTTCGTAAGTAGAGCTATCACTGCGTCAACTTTTGTTTTTATTTATCTACTTCTGACCCCAATCAAGGTAGTTCTAGCCCGATGTACTAAGGCCCATGATCCTCCAAGTACTATCATTTCCTCATAGAAGTCCTTGAATCCTTGAGAGCATCTGACCATTTCGGTGCAGAAGTCCTTGAAAAAGCAGGTCCTCTCTAGGGTCCAAGCAGGGCTTTTTTGTTCGTAAGGAGTCATGGGTTCAGGGTTTAGGGGTTTAAGGTTTAGGCATGAGCGACAAAGGGGAAAAGGAGGCACCCTTAATGGGGACCCCTACCCTATAATGGCTATATAATAGCTATATTAAGGGTATATACCTAGGGGTCCTTATTACGGGTCCCACCTTTTACCCTTGGAGTTAAGGTTTAGGCATGAGCCTGGATGGTGTGGGGGTTCTAGGCAGCTGTTTGGATTTAGGGTAACCCATAAAGTACCCTCTATTACAGCAACCCTTCCTCACGAACCCCAGAGCGTTATATAACTTTATCGAAAACCTTAAACCGAAGATTAAAAACCTTAAACTCTAAACCCCCAACCCCTAAACCCTAAACCTAAGACCCCAGAACCTAAAGCCCTAAACTCTGAGATTCGAAGCTCACGGCCGTCAATTCCGCAGAATGTAGTAGGAATGTTGACAGACTCAGAACTCCCCAAACTGAACAGGCGGTGTAGTGTTAGAGGTCTAGCTCGAAATACAAAAAAGAACTTGCAGTAGAGCTTTCTGTCTTAGAGCCGGTCTTGCCATCCTACTTACATCGGATGCGTGTCCTGTTTTGGTTTGGGCTTCTCAAAAACTCCAAGTACACAGGTAATGCCGACTGGCTCTAACACCCGAGCCCTAGAGCAAAGTAGGGCGCCATTGATGACCGCAATCTCACATCAGCTGTAAATTCCAAGGTCAAGTCTAGGTTTACGCGATTTGTGTGTGTTACATGGTGTCTGTCAGGGTGTTTAGGAGTTGGAGGGGTCTCAAGTGCGAGCCCCAGGGGGCGAACACTGGAACTGCTTGACCTTCGTGGTGTGCAGCTAGATGACTCTCTGAAGGACGTGGGGGGGGGGGGGGGTTGGGGTTTAGGGTATAGAGTTGATGGGTGGGTTCAAAATTAACTTCAACCTCAAATAACATACCTTTCTACGGTTCAGGATTACTTCTTCCTTTAAAAAATGTCCTTCCTCCGGTATGTTATTCCGGGGTCATTAAGGAAGGATTCAGGGCCTAGGGTGCAAGGGTGTTTGTACAGGTTCAGGCTTCCAGGGTTTACCTTCACCCTGAAGAACCTACCATTTCAAGAACTTATAGAAGGAAACCATAATAAAGAACCCTAAAAGGGTAGGTTTTTCAGGGTTAATGTAGGGCTTAAGGGTAGGCCTGGAAGCTCTGAAGGATGATTCCTAAGCCGTAAAAACCTCAACCCTGAGCTCCCCTTGCACTGGAGCGTCACAGGCTTTGGCGGCCACAATCCCCGGAGCCTTCTTGCTGTGGTAATATCCTGATAGAAACTGCGTGGTAATAGCAACAAACACAGGAACCCTTCTACGAAGCTTTATAGCTCAAAAGCCTCGTCGAAACGCGTATAGCAGGCCCTACCGCAGACCTTGAAGCCGACCCGAACACTCCTCTGATGTCATGCGGGTCGAGGATTCAATCTTCCATGTGGGTATTTCTCCAAGTTAGGGTCCTTTTTTGGTCCCCGAAACAATCCGGCACCCTTATGAAAAGGATCCTAAAAGGGATCGACTCATGGTGCTTGCTTCGTGGACCATGAGGGTTTAGGGTTCCGGGGGAGCTATTGCTTGACGTCCAAAGTCAACAGACGGCTTTGGGTTCAAGGATTCGGGTTTTTTTAGGGTTTAGAGCCCCATAGAGTGATGCACTTAGGCCGTTGCTACAGGCGTTTGTTTTACGGGTCCAGGTTCAGCCCAAGCTTAACAAAAGTATACAGATGCACTCTGCATGTCAACTATCTGCTTGAGTGGAGATAGTTCTGACGAGGCGGAGCTCATAGCGAGGATTTTGCCATTATTCTCTGGTGCCCAAGATTGGTTTATATGGTCTTCTTTGATCATGTTTATGTTTTTCCATCCCACATGTATCCGGCAGTGGTTCTGCCAAGTGTTATCGCTGATAGGTGCCGGTGATTAGTTGCACCCTTGTGATCATAAATCCCTGTGATTCAATACCCCGTGATCTGAAAGCACGGCTTGATCACGGGCTACTAAAACCTGGGGGTAACTGCGGCCGGCATGTTAGAAATTTGACAGATGGTAGGGTCTAGGGCTTCGAAACCTAAAGGGTCATGGGTTCTTGGGAGGAGATCGTCCGGACCCTTCGGTCCTGGACGGCACTGAAGAGCCTGGACCTTTCGGCGACGGGGCTGCAGAGTGCCGTGGCAACAACCCGAGGTTAAGGGTTTTAGGGGTTCTACTTGGAGGATCATGAGACTTAGCAAGTATTTGGTTATAAGGTACCCTAATTGGGGTTATAAGTAATTATAAGTATAGTTACACCATAATAATAGCTCTAGCTAGGGTTTACGGTTTCGGCCTGCTGATGGTAGAGGAACCTAAGGCTCCAAGTGGCGAGAGCTTCAGGGGTCTTAGGCTGATGAGTGAGCTTTGAGCTTATGGTGTTGGGGGACCCAGAGAGCCCAATACCCCTTAGTCAAGGAATATGGCTTAAACCATAAGATGAAGCCCTATATATTTAAAGCCTTATTCCTTAAACCATCCTGGCCAATGGCCTTGTGTAAGCCTGGACGATGGGCAGACATAAAAAGGAGCTCAAAAAAAAAACATAATATGAAGCCCTGTATAGTTTAAGCCTTGTTCCTTAATTAAGGGGTCTTGGGCTCTCTGGGCACTGTCCAGGATGCGCTCAGTAAGCCTCTGAGCTATAAACCCCTTGGCCGAACCCGGTCATGGCAGCCACCACCCAGAGAGCCCAATACCCCTTAATTAAGGAATAAGGCTTAAATTATATAGGGCTTAATATTATGATTTAAGATATATTCCTTAATTAAGGGGTATTGAGCTCTCCGGGCAAGAGCCGGTCCGATGTACCCGCAAGAACTCACGAAGCAGCAAGTAGTATGATAGCCTCGAGACCTAAAGCCCCGTCCAAACCGCTAGCCCGGAGCCCTACAACCCGAAAACGCCCAACCCAGAATGTGATTGCGATTAGTGTTCAGGTCCTCTACCGACTACGATGTACCATCTGCAAAGCCTGCAGAGACTGAAGCTGGCAGACAACCTGTCCCTTCGATTGATTAAAGCTCAGCGCTAAGGGTTGTGGCTCCTTTGTAGGGGTGAAGGGGGGGGAAGTGCAAGCAGATTTTCCTTAACTGCTGTTACTACCAACCGATGTGTTGCTGCAAACATGTTGGCTTGGTAAAGCTGTAATTACGATATCGCGGCTGCAATTGCGGTATTTCCAGGTTGCATACTCCCAGTTCCTCAAAAGTTGATTTTCACACTTGCTTAATGAATTGCCGCGCCGGAGCGCGCCGTCCGGCTACTATAGAGGCCTTAAGCATTGCCAATACTTTTCAGGGGATTGCTTCGTGTATCTAGTTATTCAGGTCCTCGATTATGTGAAGTCCGATTGCGCTGGTTCCAGGCAGGTTGAGGCTCAAAGCACTCCATGAGGGTCCCTCGTCGGATCCATGTCTTAAGAGTGACGTACTCTAGGCATTTCACAGAAAGAGCATCGTTTGGAGAACCGGTTTCACAAGGAAGTGTGCAGGCACAGCCTCTGTATGGAAAGTTTGACATATTCGAGAAGAATGAGCGCAATCTGATTCATTCGGGTTCCTTCTTCTAAGTACACCAGTAGACCCACAACCCCATAACTTCGGCTTCTAAATGTTAAGGCTTTTCTTTTTGTTAGCTTCGCCTCTGATGCCGAGGTTCAAGGTTTAGGGTTTAAGGTCCATGGTGGAAAACATTGAGGCTCTCAGGCGAGCTCCCGGCATCTTTGGGTGCGATGACGCGGATCGGCGTGTTGGACCTGAGCCGGGATCACAGAGATGTCTTTAGTGTTCAGCGTTGTTTAAGTGTTTAAACACTTGCCAAATTGCAGGGTAGTGCGATTCAGCGACGGAAGCATTCTTCAAGCAAGATACGGATCTATGTTCAATGCATCTGCATGCGCCTTTGTAGCCGGATCTATAGTGGGTTGTTGTGTGTCTTGGAGGCCAGCAGTGCGATTGGGGAGGGGGTGGAGGGGGTGGCAGGCTTTCTGGTTTGGGCTGCAGAGAGTTTCAATTTCAGAAATTTTTTTCTTTGACGAGGTTGCCAGGACACACGTGTTACCAACTTCAAAGGAGGTTCGCCCTTAAAAGCTTTCTAAAGGGGCCTTGACAACTACCTGAACAGTTTTGTGGGGATCCTTATTATAATTGTAGTGTAATGAACCCCAAAACCCTATTGTAATCATACAGGGCGAAGGTTGCGGACGTCCAAAGGCTAAAGCCGAAGAGGACATGAGAAGACACCCAGCTCCTCCAAAGCCCGCCCGAAAGCATGTGAAGCCTAATATGGGGGCCTTACTGATTAGAAAAGGGTTCTGGGCCCATTCATAGTACAACTGTCATAACAACCATAACGAATAATGTTGGTAGTTTGTTAGGCCCAGAAAGTATGCATTTGGGGTTTCGGTTTCAGTGTTAATTGTAGCAGAATTAAGGATTCTGGAGGGGGTGGGTTGGGGGGGGGGGGGGGGGTTTTTCAGGGTTCTGGCGGCTGTTGGGAAGAACATGAGCAAAGAGCACAGAGAAAGTGCCTCAGTTTGTATCCCCCTCGATGACGAAAGCATCTCGTGTCAGATTCGTCATGATAATGCACATGGTTGCATAAAAAAGGCATGTGTATATACATGTATATACACATACAGGCTTATGTATATGTATATACAAAATTTCATATGTGCACCCATTCGCATTCATATAGTTGAGCTGTATCGTACGAACACATTGTACAAGCCAAGGGCCTCAGGCTGCGGGGCAGGGTTTGGGGTTGCAGGTGAAGGTCCTATCGGCCGCACAGCAAATCCGGAAGAGACCCGCACACCTACAGGGACCTTTGTCGCCACCGGCTGCAAAGGTAAGCTCCGAGTCATTTGCAAGCTGCATGCGTCCAGACACTCTTACGCCACTTGAGCCCTACTTCCACCCTAAAGCTTACAAATCACTGACCCTTAGGCCCTGAAGTCCCAAACTCCCCCCGATGCCCAAACCCCCCACCTTTAAGCCGCAAGCTACCTGCCCCAGGCAACAACTCCATCACAGGGTTCGTTCCCGCAACCCTGCGTGGCATGTGGCGACTTTCATGAAGACCTTCTTGGCTTAAGGGTTCAGGTTCAGGGTTCTGCTTCCATGTTTTGACATTTAGGTGTCATAGTGTTTGGGTTTACGGTCGAGGGTTTACGATATATAGTGAGTGGCTTTGTATTTTAGGGTACAGCTTCGAGGACCCTGCATTGCACTTCATGCGTGAAGCGCCGCAGCATGATATAAGGGATCCTTTTTTCCTAGGGCCCCTGCATGTAGCCCTGCAAAGCAGAACCTCAGAGAAAGCTTGTAAAGCCCGGTTCCAGATCACCAACGCCCCCACATTACGTTGCTAAGTCCATGGCCCACGTAAGTCTCAGGGTTCTGAGCTCAATGGGCCTCTGCTCCTGCTCAAGGTTGCTTGTGCCTTCATGGCCCGGAGCTTTTAGGGGGGGAAGTTCTGTGCTTAGAGATTTTAGTTTTGCATTTTTTTTGGGGGGGGGGATAGGAGCCTGAGCGCTGACTGTGGCGTGCGGGTTTGGGGCTTCAGTGCTCTAAACCCCAAGCCTGCTAGCATGAGACAGAATCATACGTCCCAACCTCGAGAACTCAAACCCCGCGGTTTAAGGCCTCAGGCTTGACGTACTCTGTTCGACGGCTGATGAAGGAATTCAACACCCACCTCCACCCTGTGCACAACATGCCCGCATCAACCGAAACAGTCTCAAAAGTCTACAATCTTAACCTCTAAAAGCCCCAAACCTTAAAGCTCTCAACATATTCAAAACACTACATCTCCCAGACCTCGCAAGCCTAACCCCAAAAGCTAGGAACCCTGAACCTCGAGCCCAGGAATCTGGAGACCTTCTCTCTGGCCAGGAACTATCTGAATCACAGGGCGGCCGACAGGCAAGGGAGTGATGCAGAGACTCCACGTGGGTGGTTGTCAAAATTATCGTCCCTTTCTGGGTCCCTAGTATAATACGGCACCTAATATTTAGGGTACCCCAAAAAGGGACCTTAATTTTGACAACTGCCCACGTGTAAAGTTAGTATATTATCGCATATTGCTTCATTGTATATTCTTAGTTTATTCATCTTTATAGTGCCTTATGTGAAGATTTCCTGGTGCTCGCAAGTGCATTCGGGTGTTGTATCGAGGCTTCAGAGAGATTCATGGAGTTCAGCATCCCGTGACTTGAGAGTACCAGTTTAATGATCCCCACTACACGGTAATTAGTTCTCTAAGCTAGGGTTTCTCTTTGGGGAACCCCAAAAGTTCGGCACCCGTCTAAAAAGAACCTTAAAGGGCCCCGAACTTGGAGAGCCACTCACAGACTTCAGGGGCGCGTGCGCTTGCGCTCGAAGTGTGCATTGCGGAGAGAGGGATCACAGGGCGAGCTGGAGAGGGGACAGGCCACACACGCGGACCCGTAGCAACTTATGGTGCTCGTGGTACATGCACCCAAACTGTCACTCTTATTCGGTATATCAAGTTCCGAATTCGGACAGGTACTCTGTAGCAAGGGCACGATTGTCCATCCTCTGATCTACGAGACTGGGGAGGGCTTCGAGAGTTGTCAATATGTCGGAACTCAAGTTCTTCTGACTCCGGATCCTTCCGGCTACACCGCAGAAGCTTTGGAAACCGTCAAGTTCGGGTGGTGTGGAGCTTGCAGCAAGGAGGGCTTCCCGTCCAGCATAGTATGTCTCCCGACGGGGGCCCTGATCAATAAACCCTAAACCTCAAAAAAGTATTCGTATAATATGCATCACAGTATTAAGGCCCTTAAAGAGAGGGGGCTTAATCATCACCGGGGATCTATATCAATGGCTGCGGTCGCTTCACCCACCTCTGGTCTATGAGCCCACTGCAAAGCCGGAGTTTCAGAAACAAAGGTCCAAGCGATCGCACTGCCGTTTATCTAGATCCAGCCAGCATACAGACGAACAGACAGATACATGGATACCGCAATCGCCAGAGAATCTGAGCATGCTCACCTTGGCAGGGACTGCGCGCCCGTTGCGAAGGATCCCTGTCGCCTCTTCTGGGTTGATGGGACCCCCGGCACTACAGGGTTTTAGGGTTTAAGGTAGAAGCCAGAAAGTTGGAATATGATTATCCTAACCCTTCTATGGTAAATTATAGGGTATCCTACCATGAAACCATATTCCAACTTTCTGGAGTCCCCTGTAGAGTGTAGAGGCTTCGGGTTCAGAGTTCTGAGGATTCCGGGGTTTTGGTTTCGGGAGTTCCGGGTTTGGAATTTTGGGGGTTTAGGGTTTTCGGGGGTTGGGATTGTTGGATGTTGGGGTTTTGGGTTCCGGATGGAGGGTGCAGGGGTTTAGTAATTAGGGTTCGGCGTTTTCGAGTTTTACATGTTTGTTGGGCGATGGGGTTTGAGAGTTCCGGGTAAGGCAGACTAACCCCCACCCTACCTTCAAGTCAAAGAGTTCAATAGTAGGCATCCTAACATGAAGGCGCTTGAAATCACTTCGCGTAGAAGCCTTAGCTGATATAAGTCTGCAAGGAATCCAGTTTTGATCATGCCTTGTGTCTAGTGTTTGTTTACGACAGCCTGAAGCTTGGTTGCTTGAAGGCTTGAGGCTGTGAATCGTAGATTGTAAGAGGGTCGCCTTTTTATCTGGCTGTTGATAGAGTTTGCAGTGTCTTGCAGGGTTTCAACGGTGTTCATGGGTTGTACGAGTTTGTCGTGGGCTTGTAGGATCTTATCCTGCTTTTCAGCATTAAACCAGGGTTTTTTTTAGGTGCTTGTCGGGTCTAAACTGGGCTTTCGGTTTTCCAGCTGTGGATGCATAACGACCGACTGTTTCGACATGTTTAGCGCACCTTTTTCTGTTTGGGCCTGGGACTTCGGCCCGAACGCTTGTAATATGAATTAGGTTCTTTTAAAGGGGTGTACTCTCTAGTCAGTACGGTTCTATACTATAGAAGCCTAAATTAAATAATTACCAATACTATTTTGGTGGTTTGTCACTAAGACTATAGCAGAATGGGCCCCAAATCCCTGCTCTGATGACTAAGACCCCTAATTACTACTATTTGCTTAAGAAACCCCCAAAAAATAAAAATATTAATCCCTATATTACCCCCCCATAAGGAATATATTTTTCATTTTTTGGGGGTTCTTAAGCAAATAGTAGATTAAGACCCCTATATTAGGCAAAGGTAAGGTTCAGGGCCTGCAGGGTTTTCACCGTTTTAGCTTGCCCTAAGGGTCCATGTGCCCAAATGGGACATGCTTTGGCCTTGATGTAGTTCCTACTAGCGGTACTTTGAGGGCCAAAGTATCTACTATTTGCATACATGGACCCTTATAAGGGCCTTGTGGTTTTTGTTGAGGGTTTAGGGCCAGCGGTCTACGACCACGGGCCGCCCACACCCGAACTGCCAGCCACGAGCCGAGGAACACTCGAGCTCCTCCGTTCGCAATTCAAGCTGGTTCGCGGGGCAGCATACTATGGGGGCCTTAGCAATTACCTATTTGGGGAGCCCTAAACCCTAAACCCACACCCCCAAAACCCCAAAGTATAGTGGGCCTCAAAACCCTATTCTAATTGTTAAGGCTATATAAAACACAGAGTAATCTTGATGCTACCGATCCAAACATGCGGCAAGGACCCATAAAGCCCCTTCCAGAAGTGGAGTCCATTACCCAGGGGTCTACATTAATCGAAATGAGGCTTTCTGTCAACTGTTTTTTATATTCATAACTTAGCCGTATGTTGTACACGTGCCAAAGAGAGTTGTTTCTTCAGCGAGGCCTGGTGTGGAGGGTGTTTCAATTATGAAGGCCCTGTGTTAAGCATATGTTCCCTCCAAGTGAGGCAGCTACGTTTAGGCCTGCTACTGGGCTTTGGGGGTACCATACTTTAATACTTTTTGGGGGACCTGTTACTTAAAGGGAACCCACTATGAAATAAAAGTCTATACTTTTTTTCTCCCTGGTTACTTCAAAGCCCAGGCTGATACGGGCTACATGTCGGCCTTCGGGTTACCCTCGACCCTGAACCTTTCAGGCTCTGTTTGAAGGATCATGGGACCCAGGAAGTAGGCTTATAAGTAGCTTAAATCGGGGCTAGAAGTAGGTATAACTGTACAGTAGTTACCTTACTTGCAGCCCTACTTACTAAGTCCAATGGACCTCTAAGTAGGGGATATATTGAGGTTCACACCGTAGGTTCGAGACTGTAGTTGGCAGCACGCTGTGCCACAATCCTAACATGTGTTTGCTTTAAGTTTCTCGGTCTTAGCGCCTAAAAGCTACCGGAAGAAACCTACCTCTCTCAGGTTCCTTGATATGATTTGCTTATATAAGGCCTTACACCTTGAACAGGCAGGTTAGTTGGGTTTCTGGTAAAGCCCTGCTGTAAGACCTACATCGTATGTTTGTAGAATCTGGTTTTGACTTCTTGGTTCTAAAACCTTGGTTGGTGACATGGGTTTGCTACCAGCTTGCTCCGCCGGAAACTTTGCTTTCAAGTTCCTTGCGCCAAGGGGCTTCAATAACTAGTATCCTACTACTCTATTCATTTATTAGGACTTTTGTGGGTTGCAAGGCCGATGTGCGCAAATGCTTCGACCGAGTTGCCCCGGCGGTGGCGTTGCGGATCATGCGATGGTGGGGAGCCCCGGCTTGGCTGGTCGACTTGATCGCCGACTTCTACGAGGGCCAGGAGAGATGGGTGGTGGTGGCGGGCGCCTTTGCACAGCGGCCCATGCCGGCAAGCTGTTCGCCGTTACAGGGCTGCCCCTTCTCGCCGCTGCTCGTGAACGGCATGATGGCGGCCTGGGCGTTACATGTGCGGAGCCGGGTCCCGACCATCAACATGGGGATCTTCTTGGACGACCGCACGCTCTATACGAAAGGGCCCCACGCGGTCACGAAGTTGGTGGAGGCAGCCCGGGCGGGCCAGGAGGCGGACAGGGTCATAAGTTTGCCGTCTACGGGCTCGATAGGGGGGTTTCCGAAAATAGGGGACCCTAATATAGTACCCTAAATAGTAGGATCCCTATCAGAAAGACCCCAAGATGGGATACCCCTAATTTTCGGAAACTCCGATATGTCGAATGCCCACTCAAATCTCACGTATGGGTGGTGGTCAAAATTATGGTCCCTTGTTGGGTCCCTAATATAATACGGCACAGATTATTGAGGGTACCCCTTAGAAGGGGCCGCCACCCTCTAACAGTGACTATAAGGGTTATATTAGGGCCTCATCATATTCCTATTATACCACTATTACAGGGTGGGGGCCCCTTCTCAGGTACCCCAAAAGTATGGCTTAAATTATATAGGGCTCCATAATATGATTTAAGCCATATTCCTTAATTAAGGGGTATTGGGTCTCTGGGTACCCCAAAAGGGACCATCATTTTGACAACTACCCATATAGATCCCTTATAGTAACCATAATAGACCTCTATTTGAAGGAACCCTACACCCCTATACAGATCTCTAATGGTATCCATAATGGACTTCTTTTGACAACTACCCATAACAAAGGACGTACTCGGGCTGCTGGCCTTCTCCTGCCCGGTGTTCATGTTGTTTCTCGACCTCAGCGAACGCTAAGGTTCAGCTTATTAGGGTTTTAGGGTTTAGGGTTTGGGGGGGGTTTAGGGTTTAGGGTTTAGGGTTTAGGGTTTGGGGGGGGTTTAGGGTTTAGGGTTTGGGGGGGTTTAGGGTGTAGGGTTTAGGGTTTAGGGTGTAGGGTTTGGGAGGGTTTAGGGTTTAGGGTTTGGGGGGGTTTAGGGTTTAGGGTTTAGGGGGGGTTTAGGGTTTAGGGTTTGGGGGGGTTTAGGGTTTAGGGTTTAGGGTTTAGGGTTTAGGGTGTAGGGTTTGGGAGGGTTTAGGGTTTAGGGTTTAGGGTGTAGGGTTTGGGAGGGTTTAGGGTTTAGGGTTTGGGGGGGTTTAGGGTTTAGGGTTTAGGGTGTAGGGTTTGGGGGGGTTTAGGGTTTAGGGTTTAGGGTTTAGGGTGTAGGGTTTGGGAGGGTTTAGGGTTTAGGGTTTGGGGGGGTTTAGGGTTTAGGGTGTAGGGTTTGGGAGGGTTTAGGGTTTAGGGTTTGGGGGGGTTTAGGGTTTAGGGTTTAGGGGGGGTTTAGGGTTTAGGGTTTGGGGGGGTTTAGGGTTTAGGGTTTAGGGTGTAGGGTTTGGGGGGGTTTAGGGTTTAGGGTTTAGGGTTTAGGGTGTAGGGTTTGGGAGGGTTTAGGGTTTAGGGTTTGGGGGGGTTTAGGGTTTAGGGTGTAGGGTTTGGGAGGGTTTAGGGTTTAGGGTTTGGGGGGGTTTAGGGTTTAGGGTTTAGGGGGGGTTTAGGGTTTAGGGTTTGGGGGGGTTTAGGGTGAACCCTAGGGCTCCAAGTATGCAAAAAGGTACCTACTTTGGGATCTAAAGTCTATAAATCGTACCTACTTTGGGCTATTTGGAGCCCCAGGATAAAGCTCAGCTTCTTAGGGTTCAGCGCTCGGGACTTGGGTATAGGGCTTTTAGGCCAGGCACTTCTTTTAGTCAACACTTTATCTCAGCCTATGCGATAAGTCCTGAGACCTGGCTTGTTCTCGCTGTTCGCAGTTGGGGCCAGGAACCCAGAAACTCCAATATCCCTTAATTCAGGAATATTCCCTAAATCATATTAGGGATCCTATTATAATTTAAGGTATATTCCTGAATTAAGGGATATTGGAGTCTCTGGGAAGGCGACTATAGGGGCCGACGTGGATATATAAGGGTACTGGAATATAGGGGCCTACGTAATTAGAGCAGGGTTCCTGTAAAGGGTGTATAAGGGCTACTATAAGGGATCTATAAGGGTAGTATGCTATAGGGGCCTAAATAATGACCGATACGATTTCGGGGGATCCTTTTCTAATTTTAGTTTCACGGGCCCCAAAACCTATTCTAATTATAAGGCTCCTATATTACAACCAACCGGAACCCCCAGAGGTTTCCTTTGAGCAACGAAAACCAGAGATTCAAGTTCTCCTTAGTCCAGGTCTTTCTGTTCAATCAATTTGAAACGTGACTGTAGTGTCAGCTTCTTGTGTTGAATTAAGGGTACATTTTGAGGTCTCGAGGCGCTTTGGGTGCCAGCTTCGTTGAAGGCAAGGGTTTAGGGTTTAAGGCGAAAGATCTTCGAGGCAGTCCTTTTGGGAGAGAAAGCATGCAATGTGGTGTTTACAATAGGGGCCTTACTCATCACCTATACTATTTTTTGGGGGGTCGGTCCTTACTAGAACTGTTGTAGAATTGGCTCCACAACCTATTCTACTTATTAAGGCCCCTAGATTCAATAAAACATCTGCAAGGGCGACCTAGAGTAAAGCCAAACCAGCAAGTGGAAAGCCTTGAATCCAGCGTTTAGTGCAAGATCTGCTGCTAAAGCGGCAACACCCACCCCCCACACCCCCAAACTCTGGTCTCTTGGTTAACTCACCTCTACACCTCGCAACCACGATCCAGAGATTCAACTACCCGACAGAATCATGCTTGGGCTGTGGCGTATCTGGCTTGCGTCGCTTTTTCCACAGATAACATTTGCCGCGCTGAAGTCGCCAAGTACAGCCCAATACCCTTTAAGTGCTATATAGAGAGCCCAATAGCCCTTATTTAAGCAATATGGCTTAAACTTTATATGGCTTCATAGTATGATAGAAGCTATATTCCGTAATTAAGGGGTATTGGGCTCTCTGGGTACTTCTGGATACTCAGATAAAGAAGTCAGTTTTGCAGCCCTAACGACCAGCAGGTTTTATACACAGGCTCTACGGCGTCTGAGGCCTGTGTGATTTCCGAACCTAGCAAGCATATATAGTCCCTAAATCCTCAAATCCCCTGCACGGCAAGCATGAGTCGTCCAATAAACCTATGGGCTGTAACCATGTAAGCCTCCTGAACCGCTGGATGCAACAAATCCAAAACCCTAACCCTCAAACCCGAGACCCTAACACCCCATACCCTCCAAGGGTCATAGTTTTAAGCTTTCCAAGTCGAAGTCCTCAGCCACGGCTCAGGTACAGACGTCCAAGTGAAGAAGGCTCGAAGTGCCATCCCTTCACTCGGGAAGATCAGCTCTTACTTGTGTTTTAGGTTTGGGGCTTAGGTTGTAGGGCTTACTTACGTTTAGGTGTGCATATGTTGCTGTTCTGCGTGTTTTATTGGCAACTCGTTTGGTGTTTACTTATCCTGGGGGGAATATCGTCAGGAATGTAGCACAGGCACACGCCATGTAAGGATCCTCCTTAGCAGGGACAGGGCTGCCTCCCTTTCACCGAAGTAGAGAGGTAGGACCCTCGGACTCCATATCTGCAGATGGTAACCTGCTGTGGCGTCTAAAGTCTAAAGTAGCTACAGTAGTACCCTCGGGTTTCTGCAGCTCTTTTTCAAGAATCGGCTAATATACGCCAAGAAGACGCATTCCAACCCTGTCCGCGAACCCTACACCCTCATCCCTATAAACCTCGAACTTGAACCCTAAAATCCTAGACCCTAAATCCTAAACTACCTAAATCCTAAACCCTAGACCCTAAACCCTACACCTGAAACCCTCAACCCTTTATTGGCATGAATATTATGCCCACCTCTGCAAACATTCCTCGTGTCGAACGCATGGAGATACTCCGCCGGCTTGGTCACTCCGGCGTGCGTCCGGACGCTACGTCCGAGTCCTCGCCCACGCAACAGCCCAACCAGCACAACCGGGCGCAGCAGCGGGCGCCCGTTTTTTGCAGAAGACTCCAATATCCCTAAATTAAGCAATATTCCTTAAATCATAATAAGGATCCTACTCCACTTTAAGGTATTTTAATGTATATGCCTTATAATTACGGGATATTGGAGTCTCGGGGCTCCCTCAAGGATCGTCCCGGAGCCCGGGCGGATCGAAGAGAACGAGAGTCGACAGACTGCTCCAGAGTCGTCAAGATCTTCGCCGATCTTTGGGCTCCTTCACAGGGGTCTATTATGGTTACTACTAAGGGGTCTATATAGGGGCCTAGGGTTCCTTTAAAGGGGTCTAAAAGGGGGACTATAAGGGATCTATATGGGGGCCTAGAGTTCCTTTCGAAAGGGGTCTATAAGCTTCTTCTTCAGAATCTGCAGACCCCCCCCCCCCCCCCCCCCCCATCCAAAACCGCACTAATTCGTCACTCAGTCACGTTCTGAAATCCGGACCGCTTTGCTTTTTCAGTAACAGTCCTCATCAGGGGCCCTTACATGCAACATGCTCAGACAGCCCGCATTACACCAAGAGGGTCAGGTAGGCTCTATGGTTTCACCCTGTAACGGCTCGAGTTTCCCTTACATCCCATCCGTGAACCCGCGACAAGCCGCTCCCTAAACCCTGAGCCTTCCCTCTTTATGCGAGCCTCCGCCTCGAAATCCATATGGGTGGCTGTCAAAATTAGGGTCCCTTTTTGGGTCCTTATTAGAATACGGCACCTAATATTTAGGGTACCCCAAAAAGGGATCCTAATTTTGACAACCACCCATATACAAAACATGTCTGATGCATCTGCGGCCTGAACCCTGAAGCTTGTCATCTAGTCTGTAATGCTCCAGACCTGTAGGAGATCTATATATATCTACATATAAATAAATACATACAGTATGAATAGAATAAACAGACAAATCATCTTATTACGTCGAAATATATGTAGATAGCTCCCATGTCCTCCAGATAAGCGGGTACCACCTGGAGCCCTCGAGATGGCTGTCGAGTACCACGTGGCCAGCAGTACCTGGGCATTTTTGAACGGGAATTGGTTTAAGGGTTTAAGGTGTAGGGCTAAGGGTTTAGGTTTTAGGGTTTAGGGATTATGCATCCTGGGGTTTGGCATTTCTATGTTGGGGTATTTCGTCTCGGAGCTGTGGGCTTTAGGGTTTCGGGACTGTTCCAGTTTGAAGTCTCTCCGTCTAGTGACTTGTTCGGAACCTTGCACCCATGACTTTCTCACAGATGCCTGCATCAGCCTAGCTAGAGTCTGGCCTGGATCTCAAACTCGGCCAGGAATTCTTCCAGCAGTTCTCCTGAGGTACATTTTTGTGGCATCACAATCAACAGAAGCCAGACATAGAAAGTCTTGGCTAGATTGGATCATGGATACCAACACCCTTTTCAATGCTTTCAGATCTTGATGTCCGCCGCCCCACCCGACTAACACCGCCCAGTTGACATGCACAAGCTGGTGGCGCTGATCGTCGCAGCCTGTTGGCAGTCAGACAGCCTAAATCCCGAAATAAACCCTTAACTCGTGAACTCCGGAAGTTTCGAAAACCCCACAGTGCCCGCACCGCAAGCCCTCAAAATCCAAGCCCAAACCCTCAAACTCAAACTCATGGTTGGTCTGGTTTTGAGTTGCTCGACAGCCCCACCCTACCGAAGGGGCAAGCGGAAAATGATTGTTATGGGATCCGGGGTTTACTTGGAGGATCATGGGACTTTGTAAGTAGGGTTATAAGTGTACCTGATTTGGGGTTATATGTGGATATACCTATAGTTACCTTACTTATATGCAACCCTACTTTAATTACAGCGTCCCCTGATCCTTCAAGTAGATGGTTTTCGAGTCTGGAGTTTCACCGGTGTAGAGTTTTATGTTTTATGGTTTGGGGTTTGAGAATTTCGGCTCGAGGGCTCTAGGGTTTAGTTTGAGGGTCTTGGAGTTTATCGTCTACTTTTTCGGTACTGCGCCCCATACAGTAAGAGTCTATAGTAGGGCTACGATTAAGGTCCTAATATATTTACATTATGAATAATAGTCAACTCTTACTGAGTGGGGGCCGTACCCAGTCTACTTTAAAGGTTTAAGGCTTCGGGACCGTTAGCTTAGGCTCGAGTCTCTTGAAGCTCCATATCCGAGGCTCCTGAGCCCTATCGAGCAACCTTGGACCCTAAGCCACCGTTACAGACTTCACATATGGGAGTCTCCGAAAATTAGGGGTACCCTAATTTGGGGGTCCTTATAATAAGGATCCTACTATTTAGGGTACTCTATTAGGGCCCCCTATTTTCGGAAACCCCCCTTGTGAAACAGCATGGTCAGGGCTCCATAACACTGCCATGGCATCATGTAATCCGTCAGGCAGAACTGAGTAGCTGAGTGGATACACTTTACACCTTTTGGGGGATAATACTGCGAAAAAATATTCGGGGATCGCATTCGGCGTGTAGGATGCTGGGGTTCTGTTATTCTTAGTAATTAGAGTCGGGTTTTGGTGCCCATTATACTATTTTTATAATAAGGAACCCCCAAAATAGTATAGGTAATTTTAGTCCGTGCATTTGAAGCTTGAATACATAGTTGACCGTCTATCACATCCTGAAAGCCTCGTTGCTAAGGGTGCCAGAGTGCTCTCGCTCCAGAACCCTTCGTAGCCCCATAATAAACTCGGAAAATTCTCAAGCCATGCACCAAGTCGGGTTTGCTTATAGTCCACAGTACAGCCCCTTTAACTGTAAACCCGAATCCCTAAGCCATACTTCCGACTCCCTAACTGACCCCTATGCCGAGCCCAACAAGGCACCTCTTTGGGCTTTACAAAGACTCCACTATTCCTTTATGAAGGATCCTTCGGTAGGGATCCCCGAAGTAGAACTTCAGCATTTAGAAAGCAGGCGGGGGCATGATCAGTTGCATTCTTCGAGTTCCTAGTCCCAGTAAAACTATACGCTGGCATACCCCAGAACTCTATTCAAATTCAGGCCCCTATATTGCCACCCTAACTCGAGACCCTCACGGCATTCCCTAGGAACACCGTATATAAACATGCATTATAAATAGGTGCATACATATATACATTTTATATATACACATAATTATTTGTATGTTAAATATGTATATGTACATATTTGTTCATAGGATGTTGGAGTCTTTCTGTTCAGGTGCTGGCTCAGCTGGCGCCTCTGACAGTGATCTGGTGGTGGGCTCTGGGCTCTGTCCGCTCGGCATGATTGGTTGATGGCTTAGGGCCTAAGGTGTAGGGCTCAGGGCTTATGGGGTGTGGATTTAAGGCTTTTGGGGTGAAGGGTTGCCTTCGGTTTCGAGTCTCAAGGTCATGGGCTCAGGGTTAAGGGGCTTTCGGAGTAAGGTCCCGGTTCGGGATTCAACGCTCCGGGGTCTGAACCATCTTGAAGTTTCGGGGATGAGAAGAATCTCAGACTCCAACATCCTATAGCTCAGGTATATTCCGTGAGCTTAAGTCGAGCTCCTTTGCACTAGTAATTAAGGGATACTAGTCATAGTGGCTCGGGGTAGGGTGTAGATGCTGGTTCAGGGCTTTCCTGGGTGAGAAGAAGTAAGCTATGCAGCCCCAAACCTTCCACGGTTCAACCGTGAAGGCTCTCAAGAAGCTTCCGAAGCTACGAGAGAAACAGCATCAAGGGCTCAGCAATTAGGGGTGTAGGGTTTAGCCCTACACCCCAGGGCATAAGGGTTTCAATCCTTCTCCACATCCACCTTGAAGTTTGCATCAACGACTCAGATTCGTCCTCAAAGGTCTGATCCGTAATGCCTGGACTTCGTCTTTGGGATATAGGGTGCATACCATCATCCTCATGATACGTGTCATTCAGATGTTGGAGTTTGTGGTCCTGGGTCCCCAGACATTTGTGGCTTCCCTGTTTTCAGAGCCCTGCTGCCGCACTTTCCAGTGCTCAACCGCGGATGTTTTGTCTTTGGGCAGCACCGAACGCTACATATCCAAGGGTCGTCATCAAAGTTCCGAAGCATTAATGTTGGCATGAAGGGTCAGCTGAGTCCGTCAGAGGTGCAGTCTTCAGAGATATGCCTTAGCTACGCCAACTCCATTACTTCCAAGACCGGTTGTAGCCTGCTCATAGTACCTCTCATGATCCTTCAGCAACCCTAAACCCTGTAATCCTAAACCCTATCATCCTTAAATTAGAATAGGATGCCTATTATGATTTACGGTATAGTCCTTAATTAAGGGATATTGAAGCCTGTGGGAACGAGGAGGAATGGATTATGGCTACTATAGGGATCCATTCCCCCATTCCCCACTATTAAGCACGAGACAGAGGAGGCCTGGGTGGTCATCGTTCTGATGATCAAAGCTTGGGCCTTTGCTCCCTCGTTGAGCCAGGCGAGAGTGCAAGGCACCCCGGCCCAATTCGCAGTTGTGCTCTTATGATCTGTTGTTGTGTCGTCTACAACGGTTACTTACTACACGACATACATAAGGGGTACTATAAGAGTTGCTATTAGGGCTACCCTAATTACTCGAGCTACACAAGAGGAAGAAGTGAATGAATCTCACCCAGGCCGCCAGGAATTCCATGGGCTCAACTTCTGGTTTCCTGCCGGCGCCTCCATCGTTTCTGTGCGCAGCTGGCCCTGCAAATTAAGTCCCTGCTTTGTAGGTTTAATGGTTCGAACAGTTATTACCAGCTCTACATCAGCAGGATGAAAGTTTTGTCGCACTAAGATGTCTTTGCTTGGCGGAGGACTCGGAGTACGAAGAAGTGCATTTTACGTGGCCTGGCTAGCGGAGGAATTTCCATGCCAAAATGAACATACACTGTTTTTTTGTTCCGACGGAGGAATTAGTGACGTCCTTGCCAAACATCGCGACTTCGTGAAGGAGTCTATGGGGGAAAGGGGTTTGCGAGTATGTGTTAGCAGACCTACCGGATGCGACGAACTTTCGTCCTGGCGCAGCATGAATTCCAAGACCGCTAGTTTGGCCAGGCCAGCATGTGTCACACGGAGGAGGTTTTTTGGACGGGTGCCTACTCGTTTTTCGTCGCGGGCGAGCAGCATGAATTCCAAGACCGCTAGTTTGGCCAGGCCAGCATGTGTCACACGGAGGAGGTTTTTTGGACGGGGCATGAATTCCAAGACCGCTAGTTCGGCCAGGCCAGCATGTGTCACACGGAGGAGGTTTTTTGGACGGGTGCCTACTCGTTTTTAGTCGCGGGCGAGCATCAGCAGGATGAAAGTTTTGTCGCACTAAGATGTCTTTGCTTGGCGGAGGACTCGGAGTACGAAGAAGTGCATTTTACGTGGCCTGGCTAGCGGAGGAATTTCCATGCCAAAATGAACATACACTGTTTTTTTGTTCCGACGGAGGAATTAGTGACGTCCTTGCCAAACATCGCGACTTCGTGAAGGAGTCTATGGGGGAAAGGGGTTTGCGAGTATGTGTTAGCAGACCTACCGGATGCGACGAACTTTCGTCCTGGCGCAGCATGAATTCCAAGACCGCTAGTTTGGCCAGGCCAGCATGTGTCACACGGAGGAGGTTTTTTGGACGGGTGCCTACTCGTTTTTCGTCGCGGGCGAGCAGCATGAATTCCAAGACCGCTAGTTTGGCCAGGCCAGCATGTGTCACACGGAGGAGGTTTTTTGGACGGGGCATGAATTCCAAGACCGCTAGTTCGGCCAGGCCAGCATGTGTCACACGGAGGAGGTTTTTTGGACGGGTGCCTACTCGTTTTTAGTCGCGGGCGAGCATCAGCAGGATGAAAGTTTTGTCGCACTAAGATGTCTTTGCTTGGCGGAGGACTCGGAGTACGAAGAAGTGCATTTTACGTGGCCTGGCTAGCGGAGGAATTTCCATGCCAAAATGAACATACACTGTTTTTTTGTTCCGACGGAGGAATTAGTGACGTCCTTGCCAAACATCGCGACTTCGTGAAGGAGTCTATGGGGGAAAGGGGTTTGCGAGTATGTGTTAGCAGACCTACCGGATGCGACGAACTTTCGTCCTGGCGCAGCATGAATTCCAAGACCGCTAGTTTGGCCAGGCCAGCATGTGTCACACGGAGGAGGTTTTTTGGACGGGTGCCTACTCGTTTTTCGTCGCGGGCGAGCAGCATGAATTCCAAGACCGCTAGTTTGGCCAGGCCAGCATGTGTCACACGGAGGAGGTTTTTTGGACGGGGCATGAATTCCAAGACCGCTGCCGCTAGTTCGGCCAGGCCAGCATGTGTCACACGGAGGAGGTTTTTTGGACGGGTGCCTACTCGTTTTTAGTCGCGGGCGAGCAGCATGAATTCCAAGACCGCTAGTTTGGCCAGGCCAGCATGTGTCACACGGAGGAGGTTTTTTGGGCGGGTGCCTACTCGTTTTTCGTCGCGGGCGAGCAGCATGAATTCCAAGACCGCTAGTTTGGCCAGGCCAGCATGTGTCACACGGAGGAGGTTTTTTGGACGGGGCATGAATTCCAAGACCGCTAGTTCGGCCAGGCCAGCATGTGTCACACGGAGGAGGTTTTTTGGACGGGTGCCTACTCGTTTTTAGTCGCGGGCGAGCATCAGCAGGATGAAAGTTTTGTCGCACTAAGATGTCTTTGCTTGGCGGAGGACTCGGAGTACGAAGAAGTGCATTTTACGTGGCCTGGCTAGCGGAGGAATTTCCATGCCAAAATGAACATACACTGTTTTTTGTTCCGACGGAGGAATTAGTGACGTCCTTGCCAAACATCGCGACTTCGTGAAGGAGTCTATGGGGGAAAGGGGTTTGCGAGTATGTGTTAGCAGACCTACCGGATGCGACGAACTTTCGTCCTGGCGCAGTATTCCTTACAGCTCCTTGTTCTGACTCTACTACACTCTAATCTGCCCCAAAAGCCTGTTCTAAATATTAAACCCCTATACTACACAATTGTACTATTTCTTATAAGGATCCCTTCAAAGGAACCTTAGTCGAATTCGGCAGCTAGGGTTTTGTGGGTTCAAGGTCCAGGGTGCCGGGCTTAGGGTTAAGGGTTTAGGGTGTACCTAGAGGGTCATCCTGGTTTTATGGTTAGGATCTCCGATTTGGAAAAGTAGGTACCTTAAAAAGGGGTAGGGTAAGAGCCTCTAGGTAGGGTCGGTTTGGGATTCGGGGTTCCCTACGCCTCAACTAGTGCAGTTCATATAGAAACATTAGGAACCCCACCCTAACTGGAACTCGAACTGGAACTGTTCCAGTTCGAGTTCCAGTTAGGGTGGGGTTCCTAATGCCTGGGGTACGCTCTGTATAGAAATAGATTCATGAATAGGCAAATGAACCTACACTTCATTAGGCATATATGTATACATACACAGGCAGATGTATATCTAAAGACATATATATATATATACATATATATATATATATTTATAATTATTTATATTTATATGTATATACGTGAATTGAAAGTTGCTCATATACACAGATGAGATATAGATAGGTTGATCGGTAAACAGATATACGTTCAAACCCTTAGAGCCTTGATGCAGATACCTGGTTAAACCAGAAATAGATCTTTCCTCAAGGGCCTTAAGACCAGCTTCCCTGTTATTTTCTTTTCAGGTACGGGGTTGATGAATCCGAACCTGAGCCATTTCAGCCCCAAAGCGCCAAGTCAGAGTTTGGAGTTTCCGGACCTATGGTTTAGGTGCTTAAGTCAGTTCAGTGTTGTTGGATGACTCGGGGCGCTGAAGGTCCAGCCGTTTTTTTTAACTGCAGTGTTCTGGGAGGCCACGATGCCTCCTCATATAGCTTTTCTTGCATGATATGCCCCCAAACCCTGTTCCAATGAGTAAGGCCCTGTAGTATGATAGGCTTCGAGACCTGCCGTTGTTCTTTAGGGTTTGGGGTGTGCAGGGCTTGATGTCTTTGCGCACTGTGGTCTGTGAATCATTCAGATTTTAGCGCTGAGAGTTTCGGGCTTGAGGGCTTTGTCCTGGTGCGCTCTTTTGGGGCTATCGGATTGAAATCTAAGGCTTGGTCTCTGGTTTGGGGCTCTTGAACACCTGAAACCATAAACCCCGGAACCCTAAACTCTAAACTCCGGAACCCTAGAACCCTAAAACCCCAAACCCTTATAGATCCCTTAAAGGAACCCTTATAGTACCCTTTAAAGGAACCCTAAAGCCCTAAACCCCTGAACCCTAGGAAACCCTAAACCAGCCTGCCCTCAGCCCGAACACTCAGTCTGACCCAGGTTCTCGCCACCTGACTGAAAGCTTCGACAACCAGTGGGACGTTTTTTTTCAGGGGCTTAAATGATTACCTATACTCCTATTTTGGGGTTTCCTTATTATAGTTTGAGTTTTTTGACCCCTAAACCCTATTCTAAGTATTAGGGCCCCGAGGATCATTGGAATTAGAAAAAAGGTTTTTAAGTAAGGTGACTATACTGGTATCTACTTAGGGTACGTATAATCCTACCTACCAAGTCCAACGATCCTGCGCGTGGAATCATAAGCCAGGCTGTCGGCTTCAAGCTGTAGTTTCGGATTCATGGCGTGTTGCATGCGTCTTCGCAGCTCGCGGTTGGAGGTACGACAACTGAATAAGCTTAAAGCCTCTATACATTAGCCGCATTCGCCCCACAAGCCACTACAATCCCTATGGGCATTGGTTTGAGGTGAGACGTATCCGCGGTGGCGGGGTTTGGTCACAGCTTTCGCACAGCACAGAGGGCTGGATGTAGAAGTTTCGGAATTTATCGAGTTCAATAACCCCACATTAAACCGAGCTAACCCTGTAGTACTTAAATAGCCCCGACAACCTTACATACAAAGCCTTAAACATCAGTTTAGCGTTGAGGGTGGATTGTTTTCGTTCCGGGTGTGTTGAAGCTTGTATGCATGCTGTACACATGAGGCTCCGGTATACCCACACCCATGACGAAGCATCTTGAGCTAAGCTTTGGTCCTGGAGCCTCTGTGTGCCTACCTGTTTTGGGGGTCAGCAAAATCCAGCTTTCAGGCCTCAGCGCAAACAATCGTAGCAGCAACGAGCTCGAAGCCACAGCTGTGCCATCGCAGTTGCAGACTTTGTTTTGCAACATGATTTCTGGTTCAGGGGCTAGGTTTTCTGGTTTGGGGACGGTTCACATTTGTAACGGAATCGGTTGTGCGAAGGCGAGCCACCGATACAAGAAGTGTTGCTGGTCGGCGTGCTGGCCTTCATCGTCTGGGACTTTTGGAGCAACCAGGCCGCTGGGACATCGGTAAGGGTTTAGGGTTTAGGGTTGAGGGTGATGGACAAAATCCTGCACTACCCTTTATAAGGACTATACCATAATTCCCATAGTTTAGAGTCCTCAGAGTCATGCAAGATGTCGTCCATCAACAGTATGACCACTGCTGGGTTGCTGCCGCTGACGACAACGATGACGACGACGGTGTACATCTCATTTTCGTGTGGTTGGCTTTAGTGTATCTAGTGATACTGTGTAGACCTTTAGTTTTGTCGTTGTGAGTTTGCAGCATTCTGAGCCAGGGTTGGCTGGCTGAGCTTCAGGAGGAGATGACTGCTTCAATTACCCTTTCCGTGCTTCGTGAACTTGGAGGTACTGTTGAGTTTTTGCGCCGGTCAGTGCATTTTCGTGCAGATAGAGTGATGGCCGTACATAGAGCCCGAATGAACAACAGTAATGATGTAGAAGTCTGAATTATGTTGAGCGCTGTCGTTTTAAAGCCCCTGTAGAAGGCTGTGTCTTACTGTGCCTAAATCCAAAACTAAACTAGTCTTCCGTGGTAGTCGTAGAGGCTTATGGCAAATTACATGGTTGCATTGCTCAAACCGACTTTCCTCATATCACGAGAATCTCGAAACCTTCAGTCAAACAGTCTCGAACTAAGCCTTTATGAATTAACCTGCAGCCATTAGACGCTTCCGCCAGCGCTACGGACACTTCGACGCCTGAACAAAGAACTGTAGCTAGACCTACAAACCCTCAACCCGAAATCCCAAACACGCCCTGAACTCCTGAACCGTGCAACCCTAATCCCTGACCTAAACTCAAAACCCTGAAACCCGAAACCCTAAACTGACCCTAAACCCTAACCCCGAAACCCTAGACCCTTTTAGACTAAAAAGAGCCAGCGGCCCTGAGCAAGGAGACTCAGTGGGCTACTATAGCGGCGAGTGGAGAATTGCTGCAGTGGCTGATGGCTGACCCATGGGGAGGCCATTGCAATTTCAGACTTTAGTCAGAAGGTTTAGTTATACAATATCCCTGAATAACCTACCTTGTATTTTTTTAGGGCTCCGTATTTGATTTCCTTATATAGGTTCCTAAAAAGGTAGGTTATTCGGGGTTAAGGTATAGCTCAGGGTTTAGGGCAGTTGAAGTTGGGGTTTTGTAGTAGTGTTAATCAAGTTGTCCCCAGGCATGGTTGTGAGATTTGTTTTGTGGGGGGTTCTACTGGCCCTATATACATTATCGAGATGTACAGTGGATCTGGCTTCCCTGGGCACGGAGCGACGGATCCTGTGTAAACGATTCAACACCCTAAACCCTAAACCCTATTACCCCAAATCCTGGGTACCTACCCAAAGAGTCCAAAGTACCTATACAGTAAAATGTAGGGTTTCTATATTAGGAATTACTATTATTATGATTTGGGGAAGTATTCCCCATAACAGTACCTAGGACCCCTTGGGTTATGGTTTAGGGGTTTACGCAGCGCAGCCGGAGCCATGTCCGGTTCGGCTTAACTTATCATAGGAGGCCAAAAGGGGTTCTAGCCTATTGAGGTTTAGTAGGGATTAGGGTTCCCATAATTCTAAGCCATTTACAGGTGGGTAGTTCTAAGGTGGGTAGTCTCCCATAAGCCTGCCATACCACTCCTATAAGGTAAAGGGGTCTTATGGGAGTACTATGGAAGAGGAACTACCCACCTGTAATGGGCTTCTAATAATAGAGTTCGAACTAAGGAATCCCTAAACCCTAAACCCTAAACCCTAAACCCTAAACCCCAAGAATCTTAAACCCCCCCATTTTGGCCTCAATCATCAACTTAGGGAGTTTCTGGCATTGGGGCTTCAGAGTTCCCAAGGGGGAAAAGGAGGGACCTTTAATGGGGACCCCTACCCTATAATGGGCTATATTATAATGGGTATATAATAGCTGTATTAAGGGTATATACCTATAAGGGGTCCTTATTAAGGGTCCCTCTTTTTCCCCTTGGAAGAGTTCGGGGTTCAAGAGTGTGTAGCCCAGAGGGGGCTTTAGGCTTCAGGGATGAGTCTGTTTGAAGTCTTGGGACTGAGCACTGAATGGCTTAGGGCTCTCGGCTTTAGGAGTCTGTGGTTTCAGGTTGAGGCTTCAAGCTAAGCTGGCAGGAGCCAACTTGCTGAAGCTCATCCTCTTCATCATGATCACTTTGGATGCATCCCACTGAGATTCAGAAGTCAGGTCCCGGTGCAGGGCTCAATGACATCTGTAGTCCCCCGGGTTTGTTGGGTTCAGGTTCAGGGTTTAGGGCTGCATATCCCAACCATCCTGCCTCCCTCTGCCCTTCTAGGTTCTAGGCATACAGTACCATCTAAAGGCCGTAAAGCGCCAACGCGCCAAAAGTCATTGAACCGCAATGGAAAGAGAAGGCTTTCAACCATGACCTTTTTCAGGAGCTTCCCAGAATACAGAGGGCTAAGCAAGGGCAGGCGAAACTGCCGGTTACAGATATAAGGATCACGTTGGGCCGACATATCGCCTGGGACGTTGCTGCTGAGGTAGGCATCCAGATGTACCGAAGCCACTTCGGCAGTGATGTCAGCAACTTGTCTTGCACAAGCTTCGGCAGCCGGCATGTGCGACCGTAAATCCTGATTCCATGTGTTGTAGCCTTAAGGACATTCCGAAGATGGGTGATGGGTGACATGTGAATGTGCACTTGTCAAAAGAAGCCCCTCAGAGCCAAGCACAAGATGCATCAACAAGGACGACTCGTGCCACGAGCGGTGTACCAATACCAAACCATCCATTCTTGCAACACTCAGGCTTCGTGGAAATTAGCTCGGCTGCCGTACGGCACCGCCAAGCTGTTCCTTGGACAAAACCCTAGCCCTGAAGCCTACAGCCAAAGCATGAGCTTTGGGGTGTCTTCTTGTTGTTCACCTCGTTCTGGCAAGGTCCGGGTTTTGTGACGGCTCAAGATGCCACGGGTTTAAGGGTTTGGGTTTAGGGTTTATGGGTTTGTCCAGTTAGGGCAGTTTGGGTTTAGGCTTTTCGGGTTTCAGGCGTAGGGTGTATGGATTTACAAGGGTGTATAGATTTAGGGTTTAGGGGTTCGGGGCCCTAGACCCAATGCTTCCCGGCCTCACCTCTGGATCCAAAACTGCCAGCTGCTAGGTCCAAGACTTAGCTGAGGCCTTTACATAGCTATGTATGTATGTTTATATATACGTATATATGTATATATGTATATAATATTATATCTGTTTATATGACATTATATTGTTTGATATTATTGTACCAGTATTTACTCCGGCCTTAGAGGGGTTCCTATAGAGGTACTATAAGGCCTAAGTACATGGAGCCTTAGGGTCAGATGAGGCGAATGCTTTCGCCCAGAGCACCCAGCGCAAGAGATGGCGGGACGCTTGCCATACGATGCTCCCAGAGGGTCCATATATACTACGATTTTGGAATTAGCTCCCAAAAGACCATCCCCATTGTGGTTATTGGGAGCCATTTCCATAATAGTAGTGTATATGGACCCTCTTGGGCTTAAGATGTCTGTCATGAATACCCCTGAGATCACAGTGTCCCAGTGTGTTCGAAGGGGCCGTCTCTGCGTTCAACAGGGAAATTAAGAGGTTTTCGGCATCGACGGCGGATTACTGGTTTCTGGGTCGTAACTTTCGACGCAATCGCTTCATGGTCTACAGGGCTCCTAGGTACAGTGTTGGATTCATCATTGTTGTTGCGGACGTTCCATTCACTAAAGACTCGCAAGACTGCTGCCATGCAATGTTCATACCAGATATATTTCAATTGTTGAGCTTCCGGCGAGTGCTACAGCCAAGATACATCCCCAGACAATCGTTTATGCTCGCCGTAGTAGTTTCGTGTTTGGGTGCATTGAAATCGGGGGCTTTAGGGTGGCAGCGCATTTAGTTGTTCGTGAACTCTCCGTGTTGGAACACCTTGGATTTCAAGCAAGGCAAGCAAAAGAACACACGCAATGAATCATCTTGAAGCTTTGGACCAGGAAGCTTGCTAATTCTAGTTGCTGAAGGCCCTTTCTTAAACTCTTAGGCAACAAAGGTATGTCTGTGCATAAATCTAGGTTATATGTATACAACTAACAAGCACATACGAGCATTATACATGTGAGTGTGCATATATATATATATATGTAGATTTATGTTTGTACTTGTTGTAGTTATGTTTATAAGGTATGTCCCTCCCTGATGTCGAAAGCCGAGAGCAGGTGTTATCAGAAGCCCAGCTGCCTTCAAACCTACCAGAGCCAAGTTCCAAATCCAAACTCGCTAAACTCAAAGCCTGCATCCCAAGCCCCAAGATGTCCTAATCCGTAAACCTGGTCCCCTGAACCCTAAGCCCTGAACCGCAAGCCGACGGAACCCATTGCTATCGTCTCATCCCTACATCTCTGAACCGATTTCGGAACCCTAGACCCTAAACCGCTTCTCAGGAGCTTCCCCGACGCAGCATCGACATCAACTTCCAGTTGCCCTTCACTCCGGTCGGCTGCCACGAAGTACTTTGTAGGTTTACATCCAGAGGGGATTGTGTGGTATCCTAGTATTCTTTGGCACTTTCCGAAGATAGGGGACCCCACATAGTAGGATGCTTGCTATAAGGACCCCAGAATAAGGTAACCCTTATTTTCGGAAAGTCCCATAAGATGTTGCTTTCGATGTTTATGGAGTCCCCCTTTCTGTTGACCTGCATTTTTGCCAGCCGCCGAAATGTGCATTCGATTCCGGGCGCAAGGGTCAGGCTTGCCCTAAACCCAATGTAGGGGCTTCTATATTATTCCTAGAGTTCCTTATACTAGGTAGAGCTTTGGGACATTTTATCTTTTCCCTTATTGGGCTAAAGAGGATCTTAGTTACTAATATTTTCCAAAGGCTTTAAAAGCCCCACCTAGTATAGTTATAGTATGGTCTGCAGCAAAACCCTATTCCGAAGAGTAAGGCCCCTTCAGTACCCTGAACCCTAAAGCTAAACCCCGAACCCTTAGCTCGTAAACCCATAAACCCTGAATGCAAGGTCTCTTTTCCGTTCCGTAAACTTCTATAAACCCTATATAACCCCTAAACCCCAAACCCTAGTAGTGATGCGGGATTTTGGCTCAGAACTCAGGCCCCATGGAGTTTGGGGGTCCAATGTCAGTGTATGTGGAGCTCGGACAAACGGAAAACAGTAGTTAGAAGTATCTCACGGAATCCCATCCTATAGTCCCATAGAGTTGTATTACAATGTATCCCAATGCGGCTCTGTACTTCTTACTTAAACCATTTAACTCTGTTCTAGTTCTTAACTGAACGGCCCCAAACCCCTGATTCAGACCCCTCACAGATCCCTTCTTGGGGAGCTACCTTTAGGCTCCATTGTAGTTCCTTTTTGCGTTTCATATCTAGGATCCTATAAGGTAAAACGGAACTACAATGGAGCTTATGGGCCTATGGGTACTTTCAAGGAGCCGACACCAAAACTCTTTGACAGATGGCGAGGCCCAAGACGTCCAAAATGAAGAGGGCTCCGGAGAAGTAGAGCTGCAGGCACCGCCGTGGTGTTTATAGGGTTTGTAGGGTTTCATGGTTTATGGGTGTGTAGGGCTTATAGGATTCAGAGGGTCTGTAGTTTGGCATTTATGGGTTACACCACAGTAGTCCCTACAAGAGTGTAGGACTCGGGTTGAGGATTCGGGTTGCAGGGTTTTTTTTGGGTTTTGCGCTTTAGGCCTTTAATTTACGGCTTCAGCGGTTTATAGGGCTTTAGGGTTGTAGGGTTTGTAGGACTTGACGGCTTGACGGCTTAGGCTTCAGTGACTTGGAAGTGCAAAGTCCGGGGCCTAGGCCCAGGGTGGCACAGGGCATGGGTCGTTGGTTTAGGGATGTGCTGAAACGACGGGTGAAGTCGGTTTTGACGTTTTTCGGGTTCGGGGTTGCCTGGTCTTTGGGCATTCGGAGGAGTACATGATGTTTATAGGCAGGTGAACGTTATGCTTCCTGACGGTTTCGGGTGAGAGAGAGAGCTAGAGATTCCAAGCATCGTGATCAAAGTGAAGCCTAAACAGTGGCGGTTTCGCGTGAGAGAGAAAGGTTCAAAGCTTCATGATCAGAGTGGAGCTTCAAGCCCTGAACCCTAAACCCTTATAAAGCTGTTCCAGACCCCTCCTGGCCTTTGTGGCCTTCTGACCGTTTGTACTTGAGCGGACGGAAAAAGGAGTTCAAAAAAAAATAAAGCCAGAAACCTACACCCCAATGTCCGATAAGCGAGCAGTGAAGCACCGAAGTGCGGCAAACATGTGTGGCCACTCTGGTCATGAGCCCCAAAGCCTTACCCTCCAAAGTCTATAGTAGCCTAATATGGGGCCTAAACAATCACCTATGGTTATAGTATACTGGTCGCCAAAACCCTATTCTAATCCTTAATGCCCCTAAACTAACTACTTCAAGGCTCCAACAGAGCCTCCTAAAGAGGGCCGGAGCTGGTCCGTGTGTCGCAAGCTGCTAGGGTTTCAAGAGTCTAGACGCCCAAAGGCTGCTGAGCAGAGGGAAGGGACGCTGGACGTCGGGGTGGCGTCGCGGATGTAGAAATCTGGGCACAAAACCATACGGTTGAGGATATAAATCCTGCATTACCTTAAGGACCCTAAACTGTTGTAATAATGGTATATTCCTCACTGTGGGTAATGCAGGATTTATGTCATCAACCGTAGTTCGTCGGAGTTCGGAGGATGTCCGATCGTTTCCTCCACGGTCATCTTCGGCATCCCGCTCCGGCAGTTTCGCCGATTCTGAGCAGGCCTGGTGTTAGGTCAAGCCTTCCCCGTGGGTCCGGGATGCTCCGAGTAGTACGAATTTCGAGGATGGATGTTCGTTGATTTATGTTGCAGAGATTTTGTGAATATGTTGCAACCAGGTGTTGCACCGCCGAGCCTTTGCCAAAGGAGCTTTGAACCCATCTTGCCTTGTTTGTTCGATTGTTTTGTTCCAGCAATTTATACCTTGCACAATGTTTGCTCACGTGTTTTCCAACCTGCTTCTACCTTGCTGGGGTAGAATGAAGATCATACTTCAGATTTTGCGTGCGTTTCCAGCCAAACTCAAGGCACTGAGGCTTTCCAGTGATTCATTTCATGACTGTCTCGCAACCTTTTTGATGGTTGTGCAGAGTACGGAACAAGATGTCGTGCACAGCTGGACTCTCTGCTACGGTTCCACGCCAGTTGTGATTTGTGTGAGTTGCCTTTCGACCCAGCCTGTGGCATTGCGCATACTCCTATACGTAGCTTGTTTTGCAACGGCAAGCTTCCAGACCAGTGCTAGTGACCTCGTCAGTACAGCCTCACAAGGGACAGGGCTAGAGTGACTACCGTCGTTGCCTCATCCCACGGCGATCCCAATAGGGGCTTCAATAACTGCATTCTTTTTATGGGTTTCCTGATGCAACTATAGTATTATACCCTAACACCCTAGTGTAACCATGAAGTCCCTAAGTTACGGCCGCTTCTGTAACGGAGGATCTAAACGTGAAGGTTCATAAGTTTGGTTTTAGGGTTTAGGTGAGATTGCTGTGGAGCACCGACGTTCTGAATATCATTCCCGAACGGAGTTTAGGTCCGGGCTTGAGGGTTTAAGGGTTAACTCCAAGCTTAAAAGCATCTTAAACCCTCTAAGTTACGGCGGGTTTCGGGTTTGGGGTTGCGCCGCGATTCTGAGATTTCGGCTTCCAAGGGGCGTGGGCCTTTGGGGATCAGGTTCTAGGACCAGGCCGTGGGTTAAAGGTGGTTGAGGTTTGGGACGTATACTTTGAATAGTATGGTCCTATAATTATCATTATTAAGTTACCATTGATGTGATTATTGTTACCACTAAGTTACTACTACATTTACAATATCCCCCGGAAGAGAACGGCTAATTCTCGGAAACCCAGAACCCCACTCTCAAAGCCTGATTTCGGACATCCTTGCCACCACTCTACATCCCCAATCCCAAACCTAGGCACCCCGAATGCAGAAATCCCCATCTGGTGTTGCCAGGCAGCTCCTATCATCGAGATGTTCGACTTCGACGATCCAGAAGTGGTCGATGCCGTTCCTCGACTATTTTAGGCGCCTGAGTAGTATTGATTATATTGGGCCTCAGAAACCCTGTTCCAAGTATAAAGGCCCCTATAATAAATCTGCTGGCCCCAATCCTACAAACCTTTCCTGTTGTGTACTCCCGGCCGCACAATCGCAATGTGTCCAGTGGAGGTTTGGTCCGGGGTCGGCAGAGTCTAAAACTATGACAGCTTCAGTCAGGGAGCTACGGGTGAGGTTGCTGGCTCGCTGATGTAGGGTTGCCACCTATCTCCGCACAGCCACATCCTGTTCCCCTGAGCCCTCAACTGAACCTCCACAGCGTATGTTGGATCATCTTGTCGTGGGACTGCGGCATTTCATGAGAAAGCGCGTGCCTCTGCACATTTTCTCAAGGACCAGTAGGTGGTTCCTGGGCAGAACAACCTTTGCCCTAATGCCCGTATACATGATCCGACTCGCACTCTGTGCTCTGGCACTTGGGTCGACCGAGCCAGAGGCAGACTGCTCCGAGTCTCAGCAAACGACACTACTGCAGCATGGTCTTCAAGTCACGTCACTTGACAGGCAGGATAAGCAGGCGCAGGAGCTTCTTTCTGAGATCCAGAACCTCAGGATCATGAACCAGGACTCGCCTGTACTGCCAAACATCGATGCGAATGGGCGACTTTGTTTTCTTTGCGGCACCCCTTCAGAGGAGCGCGCGCCCAACCTGTCCTACGTTATAAGAGATGACTGTGGCAACCATAGCTTGCTCGAGTATTCCGCGATGATGGATGTGCCTTTGAGCAACTTCCAGCGCAATGCTACAGAAGAGCATAATGCAACATTCGGCTGGTGCGAGCTCAATGTGGAGAAGACTTGCGCTGATGCCATTTACAATCAGGATTACATGATCTTTGCGAAAAGTGTCGAAATTCCCGATGTTCCATTGGTGCATTACAAGGTTGCTTCTTGGGACCAGTACTACTGCCTCTACAACGGGTGGATCTCCAAAGAAGTCAGAGCACTGCAGCACGATTTTCTGGGAATGTCTTTGAAAGGTCAAGAGCTTTGCAATTCCGATGAACTCGTACCACGGTTGTTCAGTGGTATGCGTTTTTTGCTTTTCTGCTTCCGGGCTTCTGCGACAATAGAACAAACCCAAATAGACTACAGTCCCTGTGGGCTACTAGCAGCCTAGGTGCAGAGAGGGTCAAAGGGCAACATCACTATGAGGGACATGATGAAACGCTGGCTGCCTGCACTGCCTGGCTTCCCGGGCAGCCGTCCGAGTTACGAGGATGCGAAGTTCATGGCAGCCTGGACATGTGCTATGGGCAGTGCGGCTTGTGACATGGCGTACTGTGCCTACACCTACTGCTTGAAAGGCGACGGCCTCGGAACCTACCACGAGTGCGCTGGATGGGATCCGGTCAATGGCATGCCCATAGATATGTAACTAAACTTCAAGACTTAGCAACTAAGGTACGTTACACGTAAAAGCAAGACATTAGGACTTTAAAACGGCATAAAAATCGCAGCATACTTAAAAGCAGTTGCGTAATACCCCAGAAAGGACCATGTGCGACATTGCTCGCCTGAAGTGGTGAAAATCTGCTGTGTCACAGGGAAGCTGCTAGGGCTAGGGGAGCATGATACCGTTGATGATATAAATCCTGCAATACCCATAATAAGGAATATACCATAATGTCCATAGTTTAGGGTCCTTAAGGTCATGCAGGATTTATATCATCAACCGTACCACCAGGCTTGCCAGGCCCCGGCCCCGAAATCAGCACTTCCGACACTACCTCGAAGTAAGGACGAGTACCTAAGGGTTCCTTCAAGGGTTCCTTTTAAAGGGGTCGATAATGGTTACTATAAGGGATCTATAAGAGTACGCTGATATAGGGACCTACAGCATAGGCCCCTATATTATGTTGGGGGGCTCCTTGTCATAATTATAGTATAGTGACTCCAAATATTAAGGCCCCTACGGTAGGTTTGCAGTCCAAGGTGGTCACTCGTTGTTTAACATCAAGAAATAGAAAGCCTTTAGATAGATCTTCTCGGGCCGCTGGTGGACTGTGGACTGATTGCACTCTAACCCAAGGGTCCATGTACTCGAATGGGATATACTTTGACCTTCATGTAGTCCCTATATAATAGCCTATATAGGTACTTTAGGGCCAAAGTCTCTACTGTTTGGATACATGGACTTTTAGGTCAACCTTACATTCGTGGTATGCGATTCCCTTGTTACGTGTCCCTTCCTGATGTCCGAAAGCTCGCCGACTGCCGCCCAGTGGAAGATTCTGGCAGAGAAGTTTGAGGACGGTTCCTTGCGGACGTGTTTAGGGTTTAGGGAGGGTGAGGGGCAAGGAGGGTGTGCGCCGAAGGCTCAATCCGTGAGGTTGGGAGTTGAGCGTTGGCAGGTATTGCAGAATCTGCAAGGCCAGGTATTTCACTGACTGACATCTGTCCCAGGTATTGGCATGAATCCCGACAAAGCCAAGCGAATTAATGTCCATTAGCTCTGAAAAGCTTCAGTCTAAGTCACGATACCCCGACACCCCCTGAAACCACAATGAGGACCAAATGGGAGTTTCCGAAAATTTTGGGGTACCTTGTTGGGTTCCTTATAATAAGGATCCTACTATTTAGGGTACTATATTAGGGCCCCCTCTCTTGGGGAAACTCCCATATAGGGGTCGGAATAATTCAGAATGCAGAGTCAGGCCGAAGGAGAATACTATTCCCTGATGTAGCCCCATTATAAGTTACACAACTTGTGTGTGTATATATATATATACATACGTATGTATACTTGCAAATATGAATGCACTCGTCTTGGAAGATGTAATCGTGCTGATTTCTGTCTATGTTCAATATTGATTCAATTATCTCTGCCTTAAAGCCGGGGTACCTTATTTTGTGGTCTTATATCAAAGATCCTACCATTTAGGGTACTATATTGGGGTCCCCTATTTTCGGAAACTCCCACATAGAGCAATGCTTTTTCCACCCACCAACTCTGCAACATAACCCCGAGCCCCAAACCCCAAACTACAACTACATTTGATACACATGCTCGGCGAAGCGAAGCCATTTCGTAGATAAATGTAAACACCCTAACCCTGAACCCTCCAAACCCTTTGAACCCTCAGCCCGAAACCAGAGCCAGGAGGAGGGCAAAGGGGAGGCATCAAGCGATCCGGAAACGCCGAACATCGTCGGCGGCCTATTGTTTGTGGGGCTCAGTATCCATGGCGCAGTCTTACTATCAAGGCCACCTTATTCGACTGGCTAGTGTTGAGCCCGACATCTTAGCTCTGAGCACTATGGCGTTGTATAGGCTCCAGGGGCTATTCTTCAGCGTAATTCATGTCGTCTGGCGCAAACTTTGCCCAATTAAACCCTGCCGTACAATAAGCCGAGGGTAAGGATTGGAGATTACTAAACCCTAAACCCTAAGCCCTAAACCCTAAACCCCGATTAAACCATCATCTGATCAAGCTTCCAAGGCCTGTTTGAAGCATTTTTCGGAGGAATCTTGTGTTAAACTTTCACAAGACTCGGGGCCGCACCCCTGATGCTAGCATCTGTTTATAAAGTTAACCTAAACCATACTAACCTCTTTGCGTGTCGTGACAACTCTGACGGTGATTTCTGTAAAGCTTGATCGCGAATAATAGAACTTCTGAGGAGTTTGAGCATGCGGCCCAGGGCCCGGTGTAGAACCCAGAGACTCCAATATCCCTTAATTAAGGAGTATTCCTTGAATTATGGTAGGATCCCTAAGATGATTTAAGGAACATTCCTTAACTAAGGGGTATTGGAGTCTCTGGGAAGTCATATCATCTGCCGCGCACTTGTGGGTATCACCACTACTTGGAGGAGGATGGAACCTAGAAAGGGGTTGTATGTAGATATGACTAAAGTTACCGTACTATTTACCCTACTTACTGAGTCCGCTGATCCTCCAAGTACTTAGCCAACAAAGCTGCAGGCCCAGCGGACAATTCTCCGGTTCGAGCCATGAGGGAGTTTCCGAAAATAGGGGACCCTCATATAGTACCCCGAATAGTAGGATCTCTATTATAAGGATCCCCAAAATAAGGTACCCCTAATTTTCGGAAACTCCCATGAAGTCAGGCTGTTTATGCGAACACAAAGATGGAAGAGGCCGCCGAGGCCGAGGGCTAGGGGCCTATGGCCACTAAAAGGGGACCCTACTATTACTATTTCTATTACAATTTACTATTACTATTAATATTACTATTAATATTACTATTAATTTAGATAACTTCCCCGCTAGTGGTGTCCAGAGCTTCGAAACAAGCGGGGCTTACGCATCCGAGCACTTCTTAGGTTCGACACCAGGGCTTCATGAGCCACAGGATACTTGTGCCCATGTCGTCTTACTTGTCGCTAACCCGAGCACAGATGAACCCAGCCACACTGCCTCCTACGGGGACGTCAGTATGGCTCGAGCATGTGGTGAAACTTGTGGTCAGACTGCCTGTGCTAAAGCCATGGTCAGTATAGCATTCAATATAGTAGTGTTGTTTGGTGTGCGTCTGTGTGTGTGTGTATTTGTGTGCAATCTGGGGATGAGAGAGTTTTAAGCTGTGGACCTCGGTGTTGAGCGCCAGGAGTCTAGAGCAGGAGACTTGCGTTTTCCAGGTGTTGACAAGGTTCACGGGATGTGCCTTTTAGGGAGGTGGCCCTTATCCGAAGACTCGGATCTGGACACAGCGCTGAATAGTTTAGGATCCTCGAGATGCTTGAAGCTTTATGGGGGTCCTTCGTTGGGATTGTAGCAGAAGTCCTAGCAATCTTACTATCATCGGCTAGCGGCCGGTATCAACACGGGAGCCCGTAAGATCTTCGAATCATATTAGTGTGACTGCCTTATGTATGCGGATGTGTCTCCCGGCCACTGTTTCAAAACCAATCACTGCTACAGCTCCAAACTGCAACACCGACACCAGTTTTCGCATTGCGTGGCCAATCCGCCAATCCTGTCAAGTCGAAGTTCCGGAGCTGTGAAGCCCCGCTTGCAAGGCCATCCGCTTCTGCACGGCCGTCACCGACATGGCAACCTACCCAATTACTTAGTCTGAATAAAAAGACAGAAAACTCTAATCTCCAAAATGAAGGTCATGAACGTTGTTCAGGGCTTCACTTTACAATGTATATAAACTTCAGTCTCACTGGCTATCTAGCTTAGCCTGACAACCCAGCAGTCAGAGATATCATAGAAGGCTTCGATACTTGGTTAGCCAGCTAGGTATCATGTTGTCGATCCCTTGTGGTTGTCTCACAAACATACCGACATGATCCCAGATGTGGTAGGTCCCTGCATCCCGTGGCACGGTCGTATGTTTCTACCGGGCGCTTCAGATTTATGGGAATGTGCACGTCGATGGTCGCTTAAATTCCTGGTTTCGTGTTTCGGCTTACAAACACATGGGTGGTTGTCAAACTTAGGGTCCTTTTTGGGTCCCTATTGTAGTACGGCACCTAATATTTAGGGTACCCCAAAAAGGGACCCTAATTTTGACAACCATCCACGTGGCTTCGCACGTGAGTACAACCACCGGCTAGTATGGTGCCTGTGGCCGAATCACCAAGTAGTCTGGGTCTGATGGATGTGTGAGGCAGAGAGTACCGAAATGTCTATGTGCGTAAGATCTCTCTGCGCTACTTGAGTATGCCACTTCTTCTTATATGAGCAATTAAACGGAAAACTCTATGGGCAAGCTTCGTTTGCTTTCTGGGCATCTGAATTCCGTTTAAAACTGTTGTTTTTTGAAATCCTTAATTGTTTAGAAATTTGGCCACTGGGGATCTGGAATCCTTATGAAGTTTTTCGAAATCAGGCTGTAGCAGCTCTCGCGAATGTATACAGGGATGAAGCCAACAAAGTTTTTCCAGGACCAACTCGCCGCCACATCTGGCAGTTGTTGCACTCCGCCGCGGCTGCAGAGAGATCCGAGTCGTATATGAATAATGTACGGATTCGCCATGCTTTCGTTTCGCACCGGCTGCGTTTTCTACCCAGTGGAACGACAACAAACGAAGCGCTTCAGTATGAAATCAAAAAGAAACCCAGAAACTGGAGCGAGCGAGCTTGCAGCGCGAGCTCGAGATCTTGAAGCTCTTGTCACATAACCGAGCTTTTTACCATCACACAGCGAAAATCAACGAAACGAGAGGAAGCGGAACGAACCTCTGGTAGGATGAGATACATTGAAAATTCGCGCAGCCTCCCAGATCTGTAGACATGTGCACTTGCACGGTTTCCGTGCACATAGCCACGCGGCGGACATGATAGAAGTGTTTTTTATTTCGAAGTGTTTCAGGTGATGGTTTTCTAGCCGTACGTTGGGAAGCTTTACCTTTCACTACTGGGCCGGCCATGCTTTGAGATAGAGCCAATCCAGAGTCTTCTTG